ATCACGCATGCCACTTTCCTCACGATGTGCGTGGATGGCAGAGTGCAGCAGCAAGTTCCGATGCTGATCGCGGATCTCGGAAAATACGATATGATTCTTGGAAGGAAATGGTTTGCAGATCATGACGTCTTGCTAGACTGTCGTCGGTATCGGATGATCTGGCCAGATGAGAAGACGCTCTTCGACGATGTGTCAAGCAAGATGGCAGTACCAACGCCCACTGCTATTCTCCAGAAACCGAAGCCAAATCCTGATCATCAAGCTGATGTTGATCGACGAGACCGTCTTTTCGGTCGAGAAGAATCGAAAACAAAGGACAATTACAGACACACACGAGAACGGCAGTACGGATATTGGCAGATCGAAGAACAACGGAAGATGAGCCGCAATCTGAACGACGAAAGCAAGATAGCGGTCTCGAAGACTCAACGACAAGAGAAATTACCGTCGATCGATATTAGTGCTATTGGAGGTGTCGGTTTTAACAGACTCCACGAGAAAGGAAGGGTTAGCAGAGAAGTCGAAACCTTTGCAACTTCGCTCTATGAGATTGACCATATCATCGATGTGAAGAGCGTGCAGACTCGGGACCCCGAAATTGATCAGATCTTGATGACTCTCCCGAAAGAATACCATGACCTAGTAGAAGTCTTTTCGAAGAAAAAATCCGACGAGTTACCACCCCATAGACCTGGTGTGGATCATGATATCATTCTTGAGGCAGAAGCGCAACCCGGATATTGTCCTCTCTACAAGCTGTCACTTGAAGAGTTGAAAGCAGCGAAGAAATACATCCTCGACAATCTTGAAAAAGGATTCATCGTTCCAAGTTCAGCTCCATATGCATCCCCGATCTTGATGGCAAGAAAACCTAATGGGGGACTTCGATTCTGTGTTGATTTCCGGAGGCTGAACGCAATCACAAAGAAAGACTGTTACCCTCTACCACTAATCGATGAGGTACTACAACGAACGAGTAAGGCCAAGATCTATACGAAGCTTGATATCCAGCAAGGCTTCCACCGAATTCGTTTGACACCAGGGGCAGAGGACCTCACTACATTCCGTACAAGATATGGATCCTTCAAGTACAAAGTGACACCATTCGGATTGACGAACGGACCCGCAACCTTTCAAAGATTCATGAATGACGTTCTTCGAGAATGCCTGGACGAATACGCGGTTGCCTTTGTAGATGACATCTTGATCTACAGTGAAAACGTTGAAGATCACCAGCGACAGGTCAGAGAGGTACTCTGTCGTCTACAAAAAGCAGGGTTACAAGTTGCGTTATCAAAATCTGAATTCTCTGTGAAGAGGACTAAGTTCCTCGGATTCATTGTGAGCACTGATGGTATAGCCGTTGATCCAGAGAAGATTCGTGTGGTCCAGTCGTGGACAGTACCGACTACAGTGAAAGGAGTGCAGTCATTCCTAGGATTCTGCAATTTCTACCGACGATTTATTCAAGGATACAGTGCAATTTCAAAGTCATTACATCGGTTAACAAGACAAGACGTCCCGTTCGAGTGGTCAGAGAATTGTGAGAAGGCATTCCAGACTCTAAAGAAGAAGCTAGTCAGTGCACCAATCCTCCGGCACTATGATCCAGTTCGACGGACCCGGGTTGAGACAGATGCATCCGACGGAGTTCTGGGAGCAGTACTCTCTCAATACTACGAGAAGGAAGATTTTTGGCACCCGGTAGCGTTCTATTCGAAGACAATGCAACCCGCAGAATTGAACTACGAAGTACGCGATAAAGAGCTCCTCGCGATCGTTCGCGCTTTACAGGAATGGAGACCTGAACTCGAAGGTCTATTCCAGAAGGATCGTTTCGAGATTCTCACTGACCATCAGTCACTTGAGTACTTTATGACAACCCGACAAATGAACCAACGACAGGCGAGATGGAATGAGTTCCTATCTCAGTTCCGTTTCGTGATCAAATACCGTCCCGGGAAGAAGAATATTGTTGCTGATGTTCTATCACGAAAAGAGTCTCCTTGTGTGGACAACGGACGACAGTTTGTGATGCTTCCGAAAGACTGTCTTGAGGAAGGAGTTTACCCAACCCATTTGGCTCCTATTCACTCTGAAGAGGCAGAGATGGTAGGGATCGTTGAACGGATAAAGCAAGCCAATCGTCAGAGTTTGGAGTTAGACGAATTCCGTCAAAAAGCACAGGAAGGGGGTGGTTCTCGATGGACAATACAGGACGGATTGCTCCTTTATGAAGGACGGCTCGAAGTACCAGACGACGGGGATCTCCGTGCTCGACTGCTTGATGAGATACACCGGCAACCTTTGACGGCCCATCCAGGAATAGAAAAGATGAAGAAGCTGGTTTCGACAAGATATCACTGGCATGGATGGGTAACTGACGTAAAACGATACATTGACAACTGCCTGATCTGTAAGCGTACAAAGGCCTGGAGAGATCGAGTACCTGGATTGTTACGACCTCTGCCGATTCCGGAGCGACCTTGGCAGCATCTCTCTATGGATTTCCGTTCGTTCCCGAAGGACCGCCACGGGTACGACGCAGTTTTTGTGGTCGTGGACCGTTTGAGCAAAAGACCGATATCGATCCCTTGTCAAAAGGAAACAAAGGCCAAGCAGATGGCTCGTTTATTCATTGACCATGTCATCCGAATCACGGGAATTCCAGAGACAATTGTCTCCGACCGTGGAGGTCAGTTTATCTCCGAATTCTGGACTGAATTCTGTAGGATCCTTGGAATCAAGAGAAAACTGTCAACGGCTTACCACCCCCAGACGGATGGACAGAGTGAGATCGCAAATCAATATATGGCACAGAGATTACGACCGTATGTCGAGCAGAACCAGGACAACTGGTCGGAGATCTTACCGATGGTTGATTTCGCTGCCTCGATCCTCCCTCAGGATACAACAAAGAAGTCACCTTTCTTTGTAGAAAGAGGATACGAACCTTCGATGACGTTCGACTGGAAAGATCAGGAGACGGTGACTCCAAACGAGCAAGATGCGGTGCAAATGCTCTCCGAGTTACAGGACATCTGGACTCAGACAAAGGAGCAAATCGCGAAGTCGCAGCAATTGCAGATTCGTCAAGCGAATAAGCATCGTCGAGAAGAGGATTTCGGAATTGGTGATTCGGTATTCGTTACAACCAAGGACTGGTTACAAGATCGACCTAGCAGGAAGCTTTCCCACCTAGCGAGTGGACCATACAAGATTATCGAGAAGGTAGGCAACTCCTACAAGATAGATCTTCCGGAAGCGATTCGAGTGCACCCTATCTTCCATCCAAGCAAGTTGCGGAAGGCAGCGACGACAGAGCCTCTGGAGGGACAACACATAGATCCGTCTCCACCAATACAGGTCGGAGAGACAGACGAATGGGAAGTCGAAAAGATTCTAGACGTCAGATCGCACTACAGGAAGTTACAATACAGAGTACAATGGGTGGGACATGACCTCGATTTACAATGGTATCCTGCCGGCGACATGAAACATGCACCAAGGAAAATACAGGAGTTCCATGCGCAGTACCCTGCAAAGCCCGGTCCCCCTATGCGTTTACAGGAATGGCTTGATGCTGATGAAGAAGACCGAGTCCTCGAAGATCACGTTGATGACAACAAGCCAGCATTCAGGGACTGAATGCATTCTTAGTCGGGGGTTATGTGACGATTGAGACTGAACTGCACTATCCTTTCTGCCAGTACTGGCCGCCTGCGGGGGTTTCTGCCAGATGTCTCCGACTTGTAGATGTTTGCATGGTTTGTATGAGGAGACAGGACCAGGACCCACAAAGGTCCTGCCAGGCAGGTTTCCTTTCTTCTTCTTTCCTTTTACTCCCTGTACTTAATATTCTCGTTGAAATGCACTCTTTTGTTTAAGAACTGGCTGGTAACATAGTATGAAATTTGTTAGTTGCTGAGCGAAGTGAAGCAAAATAGAAGAGAATGCTATCTACATTATATGAATTTATATTTTACATATTTTACAGTGATGTAGCTTATAAGTATGAAAATAATATTACCTTTATACTTAAGAGTAGAAAGCTACTGAAGTTCCCTAAAAATAGCGATATGTAGATACTATATGATCGGTTAAGCGTAGGCTAATCTTATTACAATTGCCGAGAAGACTACATAGTTAGCCTCTTATAGGTCCTCTCTTTACTCAACGATAAGTCTTTAATAATTTGATCTATATAACCCAACATTATATTAGGGCTACAAATATAAGCATATACCAACGTGCTTTTAGATGTTCATTTTAGATATACATGAGGATTTTGAAATTTATAACCCCTATCTATAGACCAGCTCCTTATATGTAATTAGGAATTCGCCTAAAAGTTCTGATAGTAATAGTCATTATAGAAGTAAAAATTGAAAAATATAAAAGGACTCTTATCCCTCAAAGTAAAAGGCTTTATTCCTTTAGCCAATGGATTCTATAGAGTCATTATATCATTTTATATAAAAATCCATCTATAGCGTATATCTCTATAGTTAGGGTATCATATACTGTTGCTAATCTGTAGCCCAATTCCTCCCCAATTTCTAGGTGATTTGTTAGGTATCGACTGCGGATTTGCTATGATTTAATTCCGCCTAGAAGTTCGATAGCCCTAAAATATCAAGTCTCTGTGTGGTGTTTGTTAAAGCAAATGCTGGAAGTTCCGCCTTTGAATGAAGGACTCGGGCCCTAAAATAGAAGACTTTATTCATTTACCCGATGGTCTCTATAGATCTATTGTGTCTCTTAGCCAATTGCCCCTCTATCCATACATAGGGAAGCATAACAATCATCTTATTTTCTATGCCGGCGACGCTCAATTGCTCGAGCATAAATAGCCTCTCCCTCACAAATTGAACTCTCCTTCTTCATCTCAATCCCTCACTATCTATCCTCTACCCATCAACATTCATCACCCTTCATCATCCCACATCATCGTTCATCCTCCTGCATCCTCCTCCTTTATCGTTTAACACCTCCTCATCATGCTGAGTGAATTGCAAGTCAAGATAATCCGGGACTTTACCTCGACCCGTGATGACTTTGTTGCCGAACTCGAGAAGTTTTCCGAGGGCGACACCAATGGTAGAGTGGTAGTTCGCGTACAGTCATTCTTGTTTCGCATCAAGAACACCCTCGCCATGTGGGCAAAGCTTAGATGGAACTTGAGGAAGGAGGGACGGTGTTTTGAAGACCGCTGCATCATCTTAATGGTTTTGGCAGATGAAATGGCCCACAGTTTCCCAAACTGTGTGACCACTGCCATCAACAAGAACGGTGTTGTTGAGATCCAAGATCTTGCAATGCAAAAGAGGTTCGATATGTTGGCTATGCAGCTTGGAAGTCTTACTTTGTGGGGTCACAGCAACGTTGATACCGCTGCTGTCGAGAACGCTTGCATGGTTGAAGAGGAGCAGCGCCGATGGGAGCAAAAGCCACCCTCCAGGGATGATGAACGAGGCCAGTCTCTTCGATTCCTGTGGTCACGATTTTACTACAAGGATGTTCACTGCGACTGCCACCAGTGTCTGAACTTGTATCTCCCCCTCCGCGACCCAACACCTTCCCCTCCACTGCCCCCCATGTTCAATTCTGATGATAGCGATGAACTGTCCGTCTTGTTCGAGGAGTAAGTGCGGAAGCTCTTTCTCCGGGGTCCCCTGTGTCTTGATCGTGCCTACACTTTTGGTTACATTAATATCTTCATGGTGAATTCATAACAACAAAAGAAAAAAGAAAAAGAAAAAAAAAAAAAAAAAAACAAGAAAATGGAGGAAAATTGAAGAGAAAAAGGGATTTACAGTGTTTCTGGTGATGACATTTCTTTTGTTTACGGCGTTGGCGTTTTGGTTTGCTTTTTTGTGTTCATGTTGGTAAATTGGTCGAAAAATGAAGGGAAAAAATGAAGAAAAAAAAGCTGGTTTAGAGTGTTTCAGGATGTTTCTCTATTTTGCTGGATTTTTGGTTGTTTTTGGAGGTTTTTTTATGCCTGCATTTCAATTTGTTTTTAAGCAGTGCTAACCTTTTGGTTTTTGGGTTTTTTTTGGCACCAGCTCAAGAGGCTTGGTTGCTTTTTTTTAAGCCTGCATTCAATTTGTCGTTGCTCTATTTTGGCTGTGCTCATATTATTGATCAAAACAAATACAAAAAAACGAAGCCTATGCTTTGAATGATGTCCAAATTGTAGAAAGGTAGTCGTAGTCAATCAAGTAAAAGGAATATAGTAAGGAGAAAAGTAGAGAAAAACAAGCCCTAAAGGATTCTAAACAAATTGTTGATCCTTTGAATAAATGCACTCAAACATAGTATGTAGATAGAGACGAAACCAATCTTCCCCAACACAATCAGACTTAACAGGTGTCATAAACCGAATAAAGAGCCCTAGTTAGCGTGTTGCCACGACTGTAGTTACTATTGATAGTGAAAAGTAGGACGGATATGATAGGGAGAGTTAGATTAATACAGGGAACTAGGGTAGTATGATAAAGCTAGTAAGGTAAGCATTATAGACTAAAGACCAAAGAGTAGTAGAATCCTATCATACCAATATGCTGCCGACCAGTTTTATATTCGCTCTATGACCTCTACCTACGACCCTACATGACTCTAACTTTTCCTACTATATCTATTGGTAGAAAGCCAGCGGTTTAACAATAGATTGTCTCAGAAGAATAATAAACTAATTAATTAATTCATTTTCTTTTTGAACGCAAAGAAAGAAGTAGATACATGTTCGTACTAATTCCATGACAACGTTGGGATTAAGTTGGTTCCCGCTGGTTCCAAGTTCGGCACGACATACGCAGTTCCCTGGGAACAAACATGACGCAATTCACGTCGATCAGAAACAGTAAGGTTTTGGTAGTAAGAGTGTATTTGTACGAAAATTTCATAGCTAAGTCTACTATCTCAGTAAGACGGCGAATAGAGTAGGAGTAAACTAAAAGAATGCGCTATTGAGGAATGTATGACGGCTGCGAGGCACACCACATGGCACAAAGCACATAGCCTTATTCCGGGATGTGTTAAATGTAGACCATTAGATGCGATTTGTTTAGAAAGGAAACACATCATATTTCACCACCGAATGGTCCAACCCACCCAGTCTACTAAGTTCAACTGCATATATCTCAACCAAACCGCCATTAAATTGATTCTAGTAAAACCATCCATCTAGCTGGGTGTCTGATGTTATGCCCTATTTCTCCACAACTACTACACTTATGTGGGACTCGTGTACGTGGTTGCAAAGCCGGCGAAGGGATTCTTCGCGGAGGGGAGGAAGGTGCTTTATCTGCCTCTACTAGCTTAGCAATTGATTGTCTGGGCGAAACTACTTAAATCATGAAGTATGATATAATTTACCTATGACAGGCGCTAGATTAATGGGGACAGCAGAGGGGCGTGCAATGGGAGCGGTTTCCAGCGGCCCGCTCACTGTGTCAACTAATACTAGTGTAAATTATCACAGTTATAGATATTATCATAGGCGTGTTAGGCCCCAGGGAGTGATAATAAATTTACTTCCTCCATAGACTCTCAAACATATTAGTAGTGTAACCGAGTTTTTATATACATCTCGCACCATCCCCCACCAAACGGATAGCGCAATATACCGTGTAACCATTTCTAAAGGTTATTACAGGGTCTCTCAAACTTCCCAACTTCTCGAATTAAACAGGACTCTTCGCTGGCTTCTCCTCTTCCAAGGAAACTTCGACAGGCGCCGGCACTGGGGAAGGAGGCGCAGCAGGTTTCGGCGGAGCTGGCGCGATCCAAAACGCAGGATACCGACGATGCAAATTATTAAACAGCAACGCACACACCAGAAGCATAACAGAAGACAATAGAACTATAGGCAAGTAGTACCAAGAAAGCTGCCAAATCTCCTGACTAGTAGCCGGAAGCAAAGCAGTCGCACCAGCAGGCGGGTGAGTAGTACCCGTCAACTGCATAACGGCGATAGAAATAGCCGTTGAAAGCGAAGCGGCTAGCCAGCGCAGGGACTCGAAGCGTGCCTGGTCAGGGATCAAACTAAACAGTTTGGTAACGCAGACGCCGATCAAGGCGCTGATGAAGTGACCGACGACTAGAGCGCGTGGTTGCGCGAGGGGACTTTCGATTGCGCCGAAGACGAGGACGGCGGATGCACCCTGTTTGTTTAGATGTGAGTCAATTGTAGATATTTTGAGGAATGGGATTTTGGCTATTTGACACTTACGTAGGATGCGATTATACCCGGTACATTGCGTTCGGTGAAGTAGTCAGAGTAATTGAAAATTGCTTGCACGACTGAGAGACCACAGAATGAGGTTATGAAGGACCATAGAGCGACTTCGTATTTAGAGAGTGGCTTCACGGCTTCTGGGCGATAGCCAAGCCAGTGGCTGATCCACCGGGGAAGACGGGCGAGGCGGGAAGTAGCCATGTGGGATGACACCGTGCCTCAGTTGGATATGAAGATTAGAATTATTGTTAATAGTTTATACAGGAGATCAAAAAGAAGGAAACAAAAGATTGAATAGCATTCAAAGGGTTTAAAGGCGCTAGAATGGTTTGGGAATTGGAGAAGGAAAAAAATTGGGGAAAACCGGCCGTGCGGAGGAATGTGAGGAGATCCAGTTTCTATGACACATCGCTATATGCACATACCTAGGTAGTACATAGAACACATCATTACAATAATTATACAATTAAACTCTTATACATACTGTTCCTTCAATAGGTCACGACTGACAATGTGCGACTCGCCCAATGTGCCCTTCATCACAAGCACCAAGTCATCCACAGTGGCCAAGAACTTAAGGTATGCGCTGATGGCGACGCAGAACCGGCGGTAGTCCTCGTCGCGAATTAAATCCTTGCTTAGCATAATATCCACGTTGCGCGACATCCAGTAGTCGTGGCAACGGTTCAGGAGTGGCGTTGGGAGCACCTCGGGTAGAGGGTCACCCGTCTTGAGTGATTGTTCAACCACGCCCATAACAGCCATCACGTCACCGATATTGTGGTGGTCAAGAAGACCCGCTTGACGAGCTAGGCGACTTTGCAGGTGTTCTGGCAGCGAAGCTGATAGGTAAAGTAAGCGAGCGATGTTCTGGTTGAGTTCTTGACACAGCGATTTGACCTGACCGAGACGGTCGCTGTCGAATGGCGAGCTGGAAAATTCGAAGCGTAGCAACGCGATGGGTCCATCCAGTGCGGCAAGGGTCTCGGCGAGGTTAAGAGCCAGCTTCTCTGCGGCTAGACCTTCTTCGCGTCCTTGTCCCCAGCAGGATAAGAGAAGCGCGTAGTGGTCCGACAGTAAGCGGATGACATTTGAAAGGGACTTGCAGACGTGTTGTGATGCAGACGGTGGGCGAGGGAACAGCTGCACGATCAGTGCCGCCGCGGACCCAATGAGAACAAGCACAAGTCGTCGCCAGAAAACATTATATCCCCAACCAGGATTGCCATAAGTCGGGATGTGCCTAGGAAGTGTGTCAGTAATGTTGCTTCTCGCAATTTGACACAATTTACTTACGTATCCTCGAAACTGTAACCAACAACTAGAATGCAGGTCGCACCAGCCATAATCAGAGCTTGAAGCATAGCAGGCGGGGCGAAGATACGTCCCCACATGAGAATCGTGAGCACAACAGCCATAATAGCAGCAAGACCATACGGGTTGCCTGAACCGTGGCCTGAACCGATATACCACGCAACCAAGCCAAGGAGACCACCAACAATAGTACCAATGGCTCTACAAATCAAGGAGAAAGTGAAGTCGGCCATATAAATGACTAGGGTGGTCTGTCCCATGATGAGGGCCCAGAGGCCTTTCTCGCGGTAATAGAAACCCGCAGTGTGAGGAATCGCAGCAGGAATAGCGAGTGCGATCGTAACAACCACCATGCGCAGAGCATAAAGACCTTCCGGATTGATGAACCAATGATAGGTGCCGATGATAGCACGCCCGAAACCGCTGCCTCGCTTGGCACGATACCCTCTGCTGATGCGAAGATGCTGCTGTGCCGCTTTAGACTGCGTCTCTGCGACGTCAGGGTCGGTGATCGGGTTCTGAGCTGCAATTACAGGCGCCACCGCATTTTTGCGGCAAATCCAGTTGACGGCATATCGCAAACCCTTGGGTAGCCACAGACGGACTTTTTGGCGTTCTTTCAGGAGAGCGACAAGCTGTCCCAGGACCCGCTCCCACCCGTCGGCGACACCGAGCACCTGCTCTTCGAAGATCATTCCCATAGTGATACCCCTAACTCTGGGCAACGAATTTTCATCAAGGGTCTTGAGCATGCCTTTTTCGTTGAAGATCTCCGCATGTGTTTGAATCAAACGTTCGGTGGTTTCTGTTGCAAAAGATGCGCGCAGGCCCTGAAGATTCTCCAGCGCAGTCTGGCTGCGCTCGTGTAACTGATTGAGGAGTTCCTTGGAAGGGCGACCAAACCAACGCTTGTTAACCGTGTTAATAGATTCCGCAATGATCTCAACAGCTTCCTGGCATGCCGGGAGGATATCCTTGCTGGACTCGCGCAGTACGTCGATAGTTTCCGATCGCATGGATTCATGTTCCGGGCTTCGGAGTGCTTGGACTAAATTAACACTCTCCATCAGCTGGCGCATGCCAACTTCACGTGAAGGTTTTTTCTCATTCCCGCTAGCTTGGGAATCAGAGTCAGAATCCCGATCCACAGTGAGCTGGTGCAACTTTTCTAGCTTCGCGTGTCCCCCGATGCGGGCGATATGAACTTCCAGAAGGGAGAGACTGCTTATTAAAGCTTGGCGTATCGGTTTCTTCATGCTTTTGATATCTTCCGCACCCCACCAACCGACAGAGAAGTCTAGTGGCAAAAAGCCCATGGCCGGCTTAAGTTCCTTGTAAGCAGCAATGGCCTTCACCTTGATCGTTTGCAGATCTGCCATAACCAAGACTTCACCTTTTAGAAGACTGTTCTCTGTGGCGTCCAAAGGTCCTTTGAGCACTCGAACTAGCCCCTCCATGCCATCAAGCACGACATGGGAGGTAGACCGAGGGAAGAAGAAAAAATGAGAGACCAGGCCCAGCCCAATTCCAATAGCGGCAGGTTCAATCAAGACCTTGGGGATAGTGCCGCTGAACGATGGAAGCAGGGGGCCAATCGTCAGAGTAACATCGACGATGATAATTCCGAAAATCTGCATCAGAATGAATTTGGGGTTCTTAGCCCGAAGACGGGACTGTGCAAAAAGGGTTAGTATATTTGAGAATTATGCTTATATCGAGAAAAACCCACGAGTAAATAGATGAACAAACATATTAAACAATAATAGACAGCTGTTACACGGGCGTCAAGCATCCAGCCTGTGTAGACAAGCTGCGTCTGGACGGCTGCCACAGGCTGTCCGGTAGAATTGGCCTGGCTGTATGCGGCCTGTCCTAGGGCTTGGAGCTTGGCCTGGGTCTCAGCCGCTGGTCTTGCTGCCATAGCAGCCTTCATGGCAATGACACCCCAGGCCCAGCCTAAAGCCATACCCAGAATGAGGGTTAGAGTTCCTAAAATGAAAATGAAGACAATGCCGGTCGGAGGCACCATGAAGAGTACCAAACTGATTGCAATGTAATTAGCAATTGATACCGAGAGGAGATGTATAAATGCGCTCACGTTGCAAAAAAAGTCGCAGTACCAATGACGCTTAAGGACGGCGTGATGAAGATCAACAGCGACGCGACCCACGCAGCTAGCGAGCAACGAAACAAGACCTTAAGATCACGGGCATTGAAGTGATCCAGCCATCCTGGCAGTTTTCTACCGGCCTTGGGGGCAGGCGCTGCCTTCACAGGCGATGGAGACCCTTCCCCATTAGAAGAAAGCGGGGACGCCTCCGGGTGGACATCCCGCTGAGAAGATTCGGTTTCAGTCATTCCGACATGAACAAAACAATGCAAATGAGATTATCGGAAGGATGAAGCAGTTGAAAATCCAAAGGGATAGATATGATCGGGCATTCCTTGCGATAAAAGGGGAGAGAATGAGGGGAGAGCTGGATAAGATTTTACCGTTCCCGTTCCATGGACACGAAAAAAAGGAACGATCGGCACTATGGACAGGATTAGGTATTTATAATAACAATTCCAAGGATATTTAATAGAAAGACCCTCTCTCCCATGTGATGACCGACGTCTAGCCTGCTCTTATTGTCTTGGATCGGCATTAATTCTGCATTAACCCTTATGTTACGCTTTATGATAAAAACTTGGCGCTTGGCACCCGTGGGCGGATATAATCCCAGTCTTAGCATATCCAGCGTGTTTCAGTTCATAGGGCTAATACGTAACCTGGGAGTATATATTTCACGATATTAATATAATATTAGTATGATATTATACTAATTTATACTATTATTAGGTTCATCTAGTACTATCGAACGCTCCTCCCGTATTAGGCTGGTGTGAAACCGAAAGGGGGCAAAAGGAAGTTGGGCGTAGCGCCTTCCAAAGGTTATTATTGGGCGGGGAACTAATAAATCAGGGAGAGTACCGATGATTCATCGGTGGATCGTTCGCGTTAAATAAAAATCCCGTAGAGAGGAATGTTCTATGGAACTTCGGAACGCGAGGAACAAATTTTATATTGTGGCCTGATAATTGAGGTGTCAGGCTCTCATTTCAGCATCTCCTCGACATAAATGCTCCTTGATTTTCAGATACCCCTGGTCCAACGATGATTCAAACTTGATCATTCTACCATGATCAGCTTGAATGAAAATATGGGACGAATTCTCCTGTGGTGAGAACGACGCAGCCTTGTTCAGACATGGTGTAAGCAAATAGTTCATGACTGGCTGTTGATAATTCTCTTACCTGGTCCACTGTACTGTTTGTTGGGAGAGAGTCAAGTCTTTCATGAACAAATAAAGTCCAAAACTGTTGGCTGATCGATAGGTAGCCCTGTAATATAGTCACTAACCAGTGTGCTTCTTTATAAACATCGCTAGACTCCTGCTCGGATCCCTTGGCATTGGCTATGTAGCTTTGAAGTCCAATGAGCCTTGAATCTAGCTCAGGTGTTCCCATGAAGATCGCTCCGTGAGTTGAGAGTCTGATGCTACGAAGGTCCGTAGTAGAGGTTTCTTGTGTTAAGTCGGCAAAAAGCAGGGCCTGGCGATAGTCAATGGCAGCTCAACACTCTTTGTGTACTAGTGCATAAAATGGCAAGACTTACACTTTTGACTATTGGCCCCCCAAGACTATGTGCGATAAATATAATCGGACGATTGACTGTCTGTGTTGCCTCCGTCAGCACTAACTCTTATGTTTTTGTTGAGTCAGTTGAGTTTATACATTTGTTGATGATCTCATTTCCCACAAGTCATAGACCAGTTGCTCGGATACTTGTTGCTGGGGAATTTTCTCGTTGGAGTTTCCTACAGTGGTCAAACTATACCCCCAAGAAAGTACTCGGCTGTTGGGTATATCACCTGGCAACAGATCATAGAGCCAGTTTACCCCATTGGCTGCCGTCCATGAATGTTCGCGGTGGCCATTCAGTCCATGAACAGCGATAATACTGCGTCAATTATTAAATATCGAAATGATCGATAGGGATGGATTGTACAAACTCGACTTTTGGAGTTATCCCGTCATACAACAACTTCAATCCAGTCTCCTCATCTGGTGGAAGTGGGGACTGTAGCTACTCTTAGCATATTGACGAAACACGAGATATAGCCATCCCGTTACAGTGGGTTCTTACTGTCTTTGCAATCTTTGATTGGCCCTGTTTGAATGGGAAACACCATGGCCACGGCATGATTAACGGTAAATCGTGGTGTTTAAGATGCGGGGTAAAAGACGACTGGGGGGGCAAACAACAGATCGGCCTTGAGGGATTCGTTGCAAATACCAGGGACAGTCGCAGGGCTAAGGTTGTAGAGTAAAGGTCGGAGAGGAATAGAAAAATTAAATTATGCTGGTTTATTGGGTACTTAGTACGAGGTCAAACCCCAAAAATATAGTGGAGGATCCGCTATCTATTCGCCCTGGGACCTTAACCCTGCTACAAACCACAGCGCTATTCTTTCCACCGCATGAGGATTTACTCGATATATCGTAAGCTTGTGAACCATTTGATAACATACCGAGTTTCTGTTCGAACTAATATGACTATATGTAAGAACAAGCCGAATATTTCTGATGTTCTTTTTAGATGTATGTGAAGACGATAAACAGGAAAACCATACATGCGACTTGTCTCTCTATAATCAAGATCAATTCACTTCAAATAAGCATATTGTTCTCAGAACTCGTGGAGAAAGGGTCCGATTTAGACGTTGATGCCTAAGGCAATAAATTACAGCCTGATATTTCAGGCACAAACTTGAATTCTTCAGCGACTCGTGGACGTATCCGGCGTTTCACGTGGCATCCTTCCAGATGCATACATTTTTCATTGCCACTCCACGCGTTGGAACCTTGGAAAAACCCGGATTTACTGGTATAATGTCTACTAGCCATATGCTAATGAGCCTTGGAACACTATGAAACTAACGAGTTAATAATTTCTTATCTTTTGCCTCCGATCGCTCCGATCGGCCTCATCGCGATGGCAAAGAAGAAAAAGTTAGTCAATCGCCTCCCATAAAAGTGGGGAGTGGCCGAACTCCGAGCAATGCAGCCCAATGAGTATCTCCACTGTGGAGAAAAAACCGTCGTGAATGGCAGCCCCGATGTCGTGCTTGGACGCGAACTGAATAATATTTCGGGGGTGAAAAAAAGCTGCTTCCCACATAAGCACGTTGATCCCTTTTCAAGTCTCCGGGGTATAATATACGGGGAACGATTTGGCTGGGATGATCGGCACTACACACGACAATATGGACAAGTCCAGTTTCAACGATGAAAAGGTCCAGCCGACCCCCGGCGCAGATTTCGAAGGCTATGGTTCGGATCCCAAGGGGGAGTTTGAGATCAATGTCGGCGGTCGTGCGGCCTTGCAGCGACGGCTGCGCAATTACCAGGTTACCATGATTGGTTTCTGCAGTGGTATCGGCACTGGTTTGTTCGTGGGAACTGGTGCTGCCTACGCCAAAGCTGGCCCTGCTGGTTTGCTGCTCGCGTATATTATTGTGGGAGGAGTTTTGTGGTGTGTCATGCAAAGTATCGCCGAACTCGCAACGCTTTTCCCGACTGCCGGATCCTTCCCTCACTGGGCGACTCGATTCATCGACCCGTCTGTTGGTTTCTCCCTCGCTATTTCATACGGATACTGTTACACAATCGCCATCGCCTCGGAAGTTTCGGCGGCCGCCGTTATTGTTTCATACTGGACGGATATCACTCCTGCTGTGGTGATCACCGTTGGATTGGTACTCATTTTGGCTATCAACTTGATGAGTGTGCGATTCTACGGTGAAACTGAAGTCTTTGGAGGTGCCGTCAAGGTCCTCTGCTTCCTTGGCTTGGTTGTTGTCTCCATTGTCATTACTGCAGGCGGCGGTCCTCACGGCGATGCCATTGGATTCCGTTACTGGAATAACCCTGGACCGTGGACAAACTACAACGGTATCACCGGTCCGACAGGCCACTTCCTCGGCTTCCTGTCGTCGTTCGTCAACGCCTCGTTCAGCTTCATTGGTGTCGAGACCGTCGTCATCACAGCATCCGAATCGGTTGATCCCCACCGTGCCATTCCCAAGGCCGCCCGCCGTGTGACTTATCGCATCGCCTTCTTCTACATTCTCGGAGCGCTTCTCATCGGTATGATCGTCGACCCAAGAGCCGCAGGCCTCGTTTCCGGCTCTGGCAACGCGAACAGCTCGCCCTTTGTGATTGCCATCACCAATGCCGGCATCAACGCTCTGCCCTCTATCGTGAATGCATGCATTCTCATTGCCGCGTGGTCTGCTGGTAACTCATACTGCTGGGTCGGATCGCGCATGATTGTCGCCATGACTACAGACCACCAGCTTCCCCAGATCTTCGGGCGTGTGAACAAGAACGGTGTGCCATATGTGGCTGTCATTGCCGCCTGGCTCTTTGGGCCGCTCGCATACCTGAGTCTCGGCAGCGGTGGTGCAGCGCAGGCATTTACTTGGCTTCTCAACCTGAGTACGGTTGCCGGCTTGATTGCTTGGGCAACCCTTTGCGTCTGCTACATTCGTTTCTATGCTGCAATGAAAAAACAAAATGTGAGCCGAGACACCCTCCCATGGCAGGCACCCTTTCAACCTTATGCCGCGTGGGTGGGCTTTATCGGTTCCGTTATCATCACTTTGGTTGCTGGTTTCCCCGTGTTTTTGAAGGGTAACTGGGATACGTCGAGCTTTGTTGCGTCGTATATCGGTATCCCCATCTTCATCGTTCCCATCATTTGCTGGAAACTCTGGCATCGCACCAAGGTTAGTTTAATCCCTCTTATTCATTCTGATTTTTCGCGAAGAGTTGCTAACATTTCAATGTACAGTTTGAGCGTGCTGCCAATATCGACTTATGGTCGGGCCGTCTCCTAGATGGGGAGATCCAGCCGATTGAAAACCCGCATAACAACTGGTGGACAAAGTTCACCGATTGGCTCTTTTAAATGACTTTTATAATGATGTATAAATATTTGCATGCCACACTGGCTATTCAACATTAGCGATGTACAAAATTTACTCCGTTCAAACTGCATTCCAAACTTCATTCCGAACTTCATTTGTAAATAGTATTCGCACTCAAAATGCCTATTGGGTCTTGAATTGCTGTCCAAGTTTCTTGATATCGTGGTGGGAAGCTTTGCAGCACCCGCCCACCAGGAACGACTTGAAATGGCCCTTTTCGTAGGCTTCATTGACCACTTGAGCCAACTGTTCCTCCCAAGGTCGCTAAATTTCACATCAGCATAATTGTCATCTCCCAAGGTTCCCACGTGAAAGTAGTACTTACGTTAGCACTCACATTATCACTCAAAGCATCATTTTTCTCCCAGACCTGCGTCGTAGTATTGTACACCTCTCCATTCGTCCCATCAGGATACAACACCAAGCTTGGCACAGCAGATATCTGTCCCTCAGAAACAGCTCTCGCAACCGCACGACCAAACAAATCAACAAGCCCAGCAAGCTTATGCATCTTAGTACAATTGATACCAATTCCCCAGGGAACAGTCCCACCCTCCATGGGCGCAACAGCAGCATGCACAACCTCCTCCACAGAGCTCCCATCAGGCAAAAGATCATCCTCACGCGGGAAAACACAAGCAATCCAAAACGGCACATCGAATGCGGAATCCCGAATCGCCCTCCTCACAGCTCGAACCTCATCAAGCCGCGGCAGCGTCTCAAATGCAACATACCGCACGCGCGACACAAGCTCCCCATCTGCCTCAGCAAACATGCGCAACCGATCCAAGTGCCACAAATACAATGATTCCTCAGAGTCATGCTCGGCGTCATATGCACCACTATACTCCTGACCTGGGATCATGCACGCACCGTAAGGACCAAGACTGAGCGCGACGCTTGCGCTCTCGCGCACTTTCGCTTGCTCCGCGATGTCCACGGCTTTCTGTAGGAAGGGCCCTACAGCGCTGCGTGGGATCCCGTCTGGGAATTGGGTGGTTTTGGTCCGCGCAAATCCTTCAGGGGAGACTTGGTAGGTTGCTGTTAAGAGAATGTCTACTCCGGCGACGCCGAAGTCGCGTTGGCATGCTTGTAGCGTTGCTGGGTCGCTCACTAGCAGGTGTGAGGCCCAGAGTGGGGTTGTTTTGGAATCGAATTTGATGTTGTATAGGTCGCCCAGGGAGGTGCCAAGGCCTCCATCTAGAATTTGGATTGTTGCCATTATGTGTATTTGGAGATTTAGGTGGCTTATCGAGGGTAAGTGGGGGTTTTGCTGCTTGATACAGTCCTAAACGGAGCGATTTGCTCGGGGTTACATAATCGCTCATTTTTGGGCCGGCCTCGGGGGTATCAAAGTCTGAAGAGTGGAGATTACCTAGGTAGACTAAAATTGACTGTATGCTCGGATACTGGGGGTTTGTGGCTTTCTCATGGCGCAGATGATATTTTTTGAAGTGTTCATGGACTGACTTTACTAGTAACCGATCCATGGGTCCACGGGTGCATTGTAGATCAGCCTCTTGCAGAACTTGATCTCCAAACCAGGTATTGTTCGTTTTTTTATTTCTTGAAGTATATTATATTTTTCCGAGGTTATTATAACATATAAGTTGTTATAAGCCAAGCATAACAGCAAGCGAGCAACATGAGATTACCTGATACCCACACAATTCGCCACTTACTCTTCTTTACACATGAGCCCATCCATACCGATGGAGGATTTGCATCTCATTGATAATGCAAAGTTCTCCATGCTCTTCATTTCCAGTGCTCAAGGCTCTCCATCTGTTTAGCCGCCTTCGAACTACTTCTTCTTTCAGCCATGAAGTCACACCCAAGCGGCGCAATCGATTGACCCACAACCCTTGAATAATCCGTTTCACAGAGAGCCAGTTCATCATCGGTTGAATAGCTTTATATGCAGCGCCACTATAGCCCACTCTCACCAAAGGGTTCAGATAAACACCCTTTTCCACTGATAGTGGATTGTCTGTGTGTATGAGACAGCACTCGGAGCCTTCAAGATGGTACTTCGCTAGTGAATCGGGGATACCTCGGAAGCGAAGTGGAGGGCTGGCAATGAATGGACTTGCGGACATCGCCACTAAAGATATATTAGTTGATGCAACGCTTTCGAGAATGGAGGCCAGCATACCCATGCCATTCCAGCAACTTGTCACAGGAACAGGAGACATATTTTTCATTGCATGTCGCGATGCCGCAGAGCTGAAGTATGGCCACGTTTGCATGATAGGTTCATGGCCTTTGCTATCCCGGAGTGCAAATGTGTCATAGTAATTCGGAGGCTTGGAGAAATCCAAGGCGCAAGCAGCAGCGTATTCGCCGTCATTGGTATGCAGAAGTTCGAGGACGTCGTGTGGCTAATCAACAAAAGAAGGCAAGGCCTTAGTTAGAACACACATACGACAAAAGGGAAGATGATTCAAACAAACCGTGAACACAACGTCATTCAGAAATAAGACTTTATCAAACGTGATACCCTGCCGTGCAAGATCCCGCAGAGGCAGCAAGCTCAGATTCCGTATCCGCGATAGATACGGCACTCGTCTGAGTTGTTCCTTCCCACCAGGAGTGCTAATCCAGCCCGTGCCTCTTGCGGGTGCGGCAAGTTCATCTTCATGTGTCACAGGCGACAAAGTGATATTCCGCGGCACCCGCATCCGCTCGAGTTCCCAATCTAGTTCTCTCAACGCGCCTTTTGTGTTATCATAGCTCCCGCTTTCGTATATGCTGACAAACACATTTTCTGGACCAAGCTTCAAGACCAGCTGTGTGAGTGCCTTGCTCCAGTGACTGCGTAGGATGCGCTCATTGTTCCAGTTGATGCTTGCGATATATATTCGCTCTCGCTTTTGCGGCCGGTGTCGGAGAACAGTGTGATCAGCTTCGTAAATTCGGTGTTGAATCAGATGGATTTCGACCAGGTTCCATATTGCGAAGATTATGATCAGAGCTCGGGCGATGCGGTACCGGAGGACTCGTCGGGAGGCGGACAAAATCGTCATGGAAAGTGAGGGTATTAGGGGATTGGGGAGATTTGGTGTCAACGTCGGCATCGATTGCGATGTGCACGATCCGATCTTCCTGACATACTTGACTGGAGTTGTAGAAGGAACCCTTGATAGGGAATATTGAGCAGTTCTAAGTGAGCGCTAGGTAATCAAGGGATATTCCAAAATCGACATGAGAATGTATACTTCCTTCCCAAAGTAGAAATATTCACGATGATCATCAACGGAAGGAGTAAAAACGAACAGTACGTCAGGTTGAACAATATTGTAGAGGCCAATTCCCTTTTTGAGGAAGAGAAGGAAAATTACTGGATCCCATTGATTGTAACAAGTTGGCTTCCTAGAATTTGCTCGGAGATTTTGAACTGGCAAAGGCTTGCCGCGTTTTCTTAGCTTGTAAGATGCTTCGTGGACTCGAGTTCCCACATTATTTACCCTTTATATGAAGAATTAGAGGTGCGGAAGTCGGGGTTGCTGTATATAGTAATCATTATTCACGCCAAGTTTATCTCGTGCCACAGGCTGTCCATTTATTTTACAGGAGGTCCGCAGAAAATCGCAAGGCTCAATCTCTCGTGTGCACGCATGCTCGCACTTTGCTTCTGCCTAGAAGATGCTGCAAACGAGTTCCTGCAAACACGATAACTTCATCGGGCATTGCTGGGACGGAAATGAACGAGGCATCTAGTCCTATGTCCTCGCTGTTAATCTTTTCCGTTGACCAAAGATCGGCGATCTCTAGCCCATCAGATGCTTCTGTGGCCCGGACCAAAATTGTCAAGGTGCCACTGTCCTTGTGAGCTGGACTGAAATAAACTCTATCGCAACCCAGTCTATCAGAGTCATAGAAGTTGACCCCCAAAGATTCATAGTCGAGAGATGGTGTGCCAATCAAAGGCTCCATTGAGTCCAGGATAGTAGACAATGTGCTAAATAACGGACTTCGCAAATTGGTTCACTCCTTTTGGGTGGAGCATTTAGCTCTAGGGCATCACAAAGTCAATACACGACTTACATTGTGCAAGGCTTTCACGGAACGTTGGAACTCCGGAGGGGGAGAATGATAGTTCTCGGCGCCCTTCCGGAAGAAGTAAACGGTCTCGTTGGGAAAGGCCGTTTTCCCACGAATAAGTTCCGTATCAAAGGCTGAGTAACCTTTTATTTTCGCTTTTACTTCAGTTGGTAGTTGGAAAAATTCACGGGCCTACGACCAGATGTCAGAATCAGAAGTCAATGCGAACTCAATGTTAGCTGCATGGAAAGAAAGGCACTTGCATCTTGGAAAATTCCTTGTAAATAATGTTGAGTCAGATTCGGAGCCACAAGTCGAAAAGCGCCAAATCGATGCAGAGCTGTTTGTATACTAACGATAGTAGAAGCGCTTTGCTTTGTAGCCAAGTCGATAAGGGGAAGGCAATCTTTCGTAAACATCCTGAAGGAGGAAATAATGGGAAAGGCTGTTTACATCATCGTTAGGGGAAAATGTCAAGTACTATGCATTTATGCATGCTGAAATTACCAGGTCTTTACAAACCGGAAAATCAATGGACCGTCATGATAACGGTACCATACAAAAATACATACATTGCTTAATCAGCTATGTCCGCCGAGATTGGAAAAGAGCGGATCTTGTCATTTTAGTTAGTTAGAGAATTTACATATGTCAGATTTACCATACATTGTCGTACCCGTCTATTTCTGTCAGAAAATTCCCCGCCTGTTATACGGAAGGGTTTAGCAACTATAACCGCAATCCCCGCTTGCGACGCCTGAGCGACCCTTAGCATTTACCGCCAGCCAGACGCTATACGTCGCCGTAATCAACTCAATTACCGAAATCTCGAGCCGGAGTCCAGGCTAGGCAGCACTTCGACCATAGCGCGGGATGCTTCGTCTGCGGATGATATGGATATAGATTTCGCTCGCGCTTGACGCTCAGATGACGAGCCTTGAATTATAGTAGGCTCCTCGAAACATTACTGAGAGGTGTGCAAGATGTTCGGTGATGTTTGATAGCGACCCGACCCTACTTATTCCGGCGTATTCCTAAAGGTTGGCTCATGAGCCACAATACGAAAACACACAAATCACAACCTCCCATCGGATCTCGGGCTTGTGTGTTATATCTTACCAAGTTACCCTCTGACCCAGCCGCTTCGATGTTGCTGCATTGCCGGCCCAGTTAATGGCTTTACGATAAACCAAAATCGGATGGTCAACAGGTGATTACATGTACGTACACGGATATATTGATTCCAAGAAGACAAAATAATTATAACAAGTAGTATACAAGGGATGAAACCCACGATGTCAAGAAAGGAGCAAGTCTCGATCAACTCAGGAAATGTAAAATAGCTGTCGCAGCAATCGCAATGCCAGCTACTCTCGTGAAGCCCGAATGGCCCCGATTACCTGTCCCCGTTTGTGTCGGGTCGGTACTCGATACCGTCGTACTAACTCCACCCTCAACCCACGGCTGCCCAGGCAGCGAATCCGAGCTCTCGTCGATCTCCGCCGCGCTAAGAAGCTTGTTTTCCAGCAGATCGCAGTCAATCCGATCATCACTCTTGGGTATACTGTTGGTAACAGAGATCGGCAGGTCAAAGACAGTATAATAGTTGGTCCCATTCCAGAGGAAAGATTGGTGCATAGAGATGTTGTATGCCCCACGCGCCGAGTTCTTTGAGCCAGAGCCGTCTCCCACCAGGCATTCGGGCCAAATCCAATTCACATGTTTGACAGTGGATGAGGGTTCTAGGTCCAAGACGGGACCGACGTAGCTTGTGTTAGACGTGGGCTTTGTGCCGTTGGAGATGGTGAAATTGTGCGACTCGGAGGTTAAGAAGAGTGTGATATCGCGGAAGCGGGTGGATGAGTCGGGTTGAGTTGATGCGGGCCATGGTAGTTTGCCATTGCCGGACACATCGATTGCGACTTGCAGGTTGTCTAAGAAATTAGTATGTGGTTGATAAATTTTGGCGCATAGACTTGCCTCCTCCGAGGGGCGTGTTCGGCTGTGGGGCATCGACAATTGCCAGGCCTGGCGTGTAGACTTGGCCATTGACGATAGTGAAGTTGACCATTATTCTGAGCTTATTGATTTATTGATTTGATCTAAGTCAATGTTATTTTATTTACACAAACATAAGCTGCGCTGTTATGTCCTTCTTATTCTTTTTACGCCAAGGGGCTCATTTCCGACAACTCCGCCATTATCCTTAGCGTATTAGAACTAATTTCATTTCTTCAAGTCATTGGTCTGAATATGACCCTTAAGCCCTCATTTAGTCCTAGGTCTCTCGTTTTTATTTCTCGATATTAATCACAGTCAATAGGGGTACATACATGGCATATGGATTTGACTTCTGCTTACTTCAAATCAATATTTGTTAGGACACAATCATCTCCAATGCCCTATACTTGTAGGCAATGCGACCGATTTACCATCATTCATGTATTTGTATAGATATTGCATAAGATCTTATACATTATCTAACATCAACCCCCCTCGTCCATGCTTTGGTTTCCCATCCCAACTTTACCCGAGTCCCTGTCGATCATCGACACTATTGAACTTCATGCTTACTTCATAGTGGCCTCACGTTACACAATGCGTATCTACGTTTTATTTTTGTAGGTAGAAATTCCAAAAATACTCGAAACTGCTTTTATTCATTTGATGTTCCTGTTTTGTATGGATCATGGGAAAGAAGACCGGAGTTTTTGGTTGACGAGCTTACCTACATAGTTTTAGCACGGTCAAATGCAATCCCACAAATCCACGATATAACGGCGTACAATACCCACAGAGTTCGGCGAGGAGTTAGAAATCGGTGCGTTACGAATCAGACCCTTATTTTCCCTCGTGTCTTGCATAGCCGCGGCAAACATCCTCTCCATATTTTTGAGGAGGCCGTTCAATTCGGTCCTCCGCACCCGTAAGGCGTTGTTGCCGCCGCAGGTTGATTTCCGCCGCGCGAACTATTTGTTGTAGCTCCCGGATATCTGTCCGGTCTTTTTCCATAGTTCGCTTTACGGCTTCGAGTGTACTTTTGTCACCCTCGGCACGTTCTAGGTCCTCAGAGACTTGGTATAGTCGACTTTCGAGGACCTGTAACTGTGCATCGACGTCGCGTGATCGATGCTTTTGAGACTGGTTGACCAAGGCATTCATTTGCTCTTGGTCAATGAACCGAGTTGAGCTGCGCTGGGTAGCCATTTGAGCTTGAAGAGCCGACACCTGGGACCTGGCGTGGCTAAGCTCTTGCTCCTGGCGGGAAATTGTCGCTTCAGCATTCGTCAGTCTTTCAATACGCGCGCTCCAGGTCCCCATAGACCTGGTCTAATCTGCTCTCAATGGCCTTGAATTGGCCATCGATATCGCGCGCCCGGTTGGTAGTCGATTGACGGACCATCTGGTCCATCTTGTCTTGTTCGACGAAGCGAGTGGTGGCTCGCTTGGTTTTTATTTGAGATTGGAGGGCCGAGGCCTGGGACTTGGCCCGGTCCAGCTCCATCTCTTGCCGATAGATTGTCGCTTCGGCATCGGTCAGTTTTGCATTGAGCGCGCTGACCTCGCGCTGTGCCTGACTTGGTCGGGCACTGAGGGGGGAAGAATGGGCTGTATCGGAGCCCACCAGTGGGCCAATCCTGTGCGGAGGACCCTGGTTGACGAGAGAGAAATAAGAGAAGGATAAGGAAAGGTAGTCGACGAAGGATAGAGAAGTTAAGAGGGATGAGACGAAGAAGCGACTATTTATAGTCATAGAAATCATGTTAGTAGGAAGCAAGGGGATTGTAAGTACTAAGAACGAAATGAACTCACAAACAGCGTCAGTATATAGCTCTGGTGTGTATATTTAAAGGAAGGGGTGTAAGAAGAAGAAGAAGAAGAAGAAGAAGAAGAAGAAGAAGAAGAAGAAGAAGAAGAAGAAGAAGAAGATGATGATGGTATTTATAGTTTTACAGACTATTCATGGATGCAAGTACTTTGCCTTCAGAGATCTTCTTCCTTTATTATTCGTCTATCTATCATTATATTCACTATCCATTCGGAGCATCATATTTGGTAGATCTTCTATTAAGTAGCCATACTGCATGTTGCTCTTTTGTACATCTTTACTCTCACTTTACTCTCACTTCACTCTCACTTCACTCTCACTTTTGTTCTCACTTTGCTCTCATTCTATTTGTTATGTATTCTGCCAGTATCTTTTCTCTGTGTCTTGCTACTTACCCTGACTTATCACTGATTAGCTAGACCGGAAGACTACCAATATTTATCGCTTTCCTAGTCATATGGATCGTGGGGCTATAATTACTTTGTTATCCGAAGAGGATCGGCGACATACTGAGAGAGGGATGATGAGGATGACTTGAATATAATGGTTGATCCAAATCATCTACTTCAGATTATATGGAGTTGCCTGTATGGAGTTGTATTCTCCTGTGTTGTTGTGTGCCTTTTAGGGGTGCGTTGTGCATGTATACAGATTTATAGGGTCCATTCGCATATCAGCTCACTTCCTCATCTCTACTTTCCCATGCACATTGGCTAAGGTTGGGTACCCATGAGAGAGGATAGGCCTTAATTCGGCTGGGATTGGCGATCTAGCAGATGTGGCTCGGATATGCCGGATCCAAGTTCAGAAGATACTCCATTCCTACGCTGGTTCCATCACAATTTACAGGGAAAATGAGCAAAAAGAAACACAAGGAGAATAGAAAACAAAGGTATCGGACACAAAACATATTAGACGCGATCAAAGAAACAGTAGCGAACAGGCTTTTCCGGAAAATAGACATGGAACAACAACCGGTGCGGTCACCATAAGAAAAGTCTTTGAAACCATGAATAAAGGAAAGAAATATCACCTCTTGTCACCCCAAAGGCCAACAATGCCAATCGAAAGTGCAATACAAGACAACCAAGTGCGCGCTCGGTGGAGCCGGCGCTCCCGGTCCATCTCGCGCTGAACGGTCTCACCGTTCACATCGTCATGTGCCTCAACCACAACAAGGTCCTCATCCTTATTTGTGTTGGAGTCCCGAATTAGGGAGAAGTGGGAAACGTCGCGGATCACAGCCGAGGCCCAGTTCTTGAAGCCGAGGTGACGGTTGAACCAGAAATCAACACCGTGGGCACTGATTGTAGAGAACGCCCACAGCCAGACCATGTATGGGTGTCGCCGACGTGGAGATGAGAGACACCATGCGAAACAGAAGCAGGAATTGGCCAGGAAGGAGAGGCGCAGGGCATATCGGCGAGTAAGGCGCTTCACTTCGTTCAGGGAGCGGGCGGCGGTTGTCGCAGTTGGAAGTAGCTGCAGAGCTGGGATTGTAATGGATGATGTGGAGTAGGACAGGCCCTGTGGGGTTAAAAGGGGATGTTAGAATTTGTTGATCGTGTTTTATGATGCGATAAATGCGATAGACGTACAGTAAGAAGACCGAGGGAGACAGTGCCCACAAACTTGCTGACGCTGATGGGGCAGGCCATGTTGCAATAATCAAAGTTGATCGCTTGCCTCGCAGCGGTATTTGACGAGGATGACAGAATCTGGAATGAGCTAAGTCGAAGATACAGGTCAACAATGCAAAGAACAGACGGTTCTTTTTCGGTGACGTCGCGGACCGCTTCTCACGCGCCAGCCAATCAGAGGGCCACAATTCTTCATCTCAGTGAGAGGGGAGTTTACGTATCTTTCTCAAGTCAAATTAGTACCTATGTGCCTATATATTTGCAGCTAAAAACCTCGTGTGGAACATACTTTATTTGATATTTTGTTTTATCAACGCAGTAGTATATTGGACATGGATCGGTATCTATGTCTACATCAGATAACCTCCCACTCGAACAGACCTTTCTTAGTATATTTCAGAAATAAATTATGTAACTATTCACTGATATGAACTCACTTTCAAAACAATATATCTTGCTATCTTATTCTAACATACTTGGTACAGTGGAGGACAAAGTACGGAGTAGTAATACTGTCATACTTCGCATTAGTGTTGGGCTCGAAGACAGCCGGTTGACTTAAGAAAGTTGAGGTGTTTGAGTTCCAAAACATTATCTAGCTATGTGGTTGATGAATCCGTCTGCGAAATCGCAAATTGTTCCAGCTTTGGAATAGTTCCTTGTAGGGCTTTCCAGCCTTGGAAGGTTCTCAGGTTGCATTTTTGTATCACTAATCCTTTTATGCATCTATCTAAATTCGGAATACATAAATTGCATAAAATTAAGAAGCCGAGGTCCAACTGTGGGGAAGCGGGTATCGTTCAAACCGTGACCTCCTGGACATCCCCCAAATCCCCCACAATCTTTAAACAAATATCTCCAGGGAGGTAAATAGTAATCAGAATGCCGCTCCCCAAGACAGAATATTTGAGTGACTCCTGGAAGGATGGGATCTTCGGTGAGCTCCATACTCCATTGTCAACACTCAGTCACACTAACTTCTTGGTCCAGCAAATAAAGTGGTCTTCTGCACAGGAGGCGCCGGTACTATCTGCAGTGCCCAGGTCCGGGCCTTAGTACACCTTGGTGCTAACGCCTGCATCATCGGCCGAAATGTAGAGAAGACCGAGCGTATGGCCCAGGACATCGCGACAGCCCGACCCGGTGCCAAGGTGATTGGGATTGGTTCCGTGGACGTGCGCCAGCTCGAGAGTTTGCAGCAAGCAGTTGAGCGCTGTGTCAAGGAGCTTGGAGGTATAGACTTTGTCATGTATGTCGATATATTAACTTGACCCCAGTCTTCGAGTTCCCATACTAATAGTATGTGACAGTGCTGGAGCGGCGGGTAACTTCCTCGCCTCGATCGAGCAACTCTCAGTCAATGCTTTCAAATCAGTCATGGATATTGACGTCTTGGGCTCTTATAATACTCTCAAAGCAACTCTGCCGTATCTAAGAGAGTCAGCAAGCAAACACAGAATAGACTCGAAGACTCGTGAGTGCATCATTCGGCGAATCCGACCATCTGTCTACCATTGGCACTGACAATCCTCCAGTTCAACCATCACCGATTGGAACCGGTGGAAGAATTATCTTTGTCAGTGCCACCATCCACTACCGGGGTATGCCCTTCCAGACCCATGTATCCGTTGCCAAAGCTGGTATCGATTCCTTGTCGAACAGTGTTGCGATCGAGTATGGTCCTCGCGGGATGACTTCCAACATTATTGCGCCGGGCCCTATCGCATCGACTGAGGTTAGTACAAGTCTCAATAGTGTTCTTCCTGTGCCAGAAGCTGATTGACTCACCCCTCATTAGGGCTTGGAACGTCTGCTGCCATCAGATGCCATGGAGGCCTACACGAAAGCTCAGCCGCTCGGCCGCTTTGGCCATGTCCGCGACATTGCCGACGCTACCGTGTATCTCTTCTCAGACACTGGCAGCTATGTTAGTGGTCAAACGCTTGTTGGTGAGTTATCAGATAAAACAAAACAATACGGTAAATGTTCCATACTGACACATAGCAGTGGACGGTGCAAACTGGCGCATGTCGGCAGGTGGTGCTTCCGGTGGGAGCTTGTCTTACCCGGACTTCTTGCTTTCGGGAGATGATGTACCCAACGTGACGGGCAAAAAGTCTAAGCTTTGAGCAAATGAAACAATGTCTGAGACATGATAATACAACATAGGTTTCCAGACATCTGTATCATGGATAAAGTCTATTATTCTATTTCTTATTACTACAGTGGGTCTAGCAGATGGAGATTATGCGTATTCATGATGTTTCAAAATTGATGTTATTCCTTCCTTAGCTCAGTCCAAGTTGTTGTCGTCGCAGGTCCAAAGTGTTGTGTTCTGTCTCCACTCTGCAAGAGTTATATAGCCTATAACAAATTCGAACTAAACAATGTTCCATACCCGGTTAAACGCTGTAATAACATTATTCACCACTGCCAGCTACAAAGGAGGAAAAGGGATAGGTATGCTCTAATATTTAGACTTGGGAACGATATTAGCCCACCCAAATATATTTCTTCCTTCTTCCTCCTTCCCGTCATGGGAAATTACATCCATGATTTATGGAAACCACTGAAGCTCCCACACGTCCTAAGCTTATACTGCCAGTAAGCTGCTGTATAGCAGACTGAACATACCTGGGAGATATGATGTATTCAATTTGGGAGTTACCGCATGACAGAAATATGTTCATACAGGGGTTTCTTATCGCCTTCTTTCTTGCCCCAATCCCGGTTTTGGATCATGGTCAAAGCTACAATAAGGAAGCCAAATGTCTCCATATACTCTTGGACAAGACATTGAAGGGTTCCAGGAGGTGCATGTTGAGAAATGTGTCGGGTTTGAGTGGGTTGCATGTTAGTGCCTAGGGCCAATTACTCTAGGTATTCTTAGGGCACGTCCGCCGCGATCGTATATATGTCGGTGCTACATTGGATCAGCATTGTACATATGTAGACTACAGGTCAGTTGCATTTCTTGAGTGTTGTGGTCATAGAACCTGCCTATTAAGTGACACTGTCTTGTCGCCCTGCACTCTCGGCCTATTCTCTTTGTAATCCATGCCAAAATTTCGAGCCATTGCTACATTAACAAATCGCATATTTCCTTCTGACTCAAGCCTTGGCTTCAATGATAGCACGGCAATTACCATGATGATCGACCAGTCCACCGTCCAATGTCGCCATGTACTCAGCAATACTGAGCTGACATCAAGTTTTCACTCAACATTGTCGCTATTCAGATTTGTGGAGGTGAGTAGATATATTGTATAAAGTAAATTAACAAAACTAGAGTTTATCTTTGCCTTGCGGGTATGCTTTAGAACGCAATACTCCTTGTACAACGGGGTTTCCTTTCCACAAATGATTCCATAAGGTCGACGTTTCGTCCCGTATTGTCTGTTTCTCGCCTTTCCAGCGTATTCAGGGGCTGTCTAGCCATGGATTCGGGGTTCGTGAGTGTGAAGGGGGTTGTAAAAAAATGAATCAACTGTCAGAAGGAAAGACATCAGCACTGGTCAGGTCAAATGGGGCAAGAGTAAGCACAGGATTCACCACCTACCAATTGAGGCAGGCATCTTCCATTTACTACCTCACAAACACCGACTCAGATATCTCGGGGTCTTAAAAAGGATCATTTGGAAAAGTTGGCCAAGCTTCTAAAATTATTATGGCTAATTCCGCAAGGAAACACCGTTGAAAAGGCCCCAAAGATTTGTTAGTATCAGCTTCGTTTGAGCGACGGATGCTTAGAGTAATTTTGATGAAATAGGACAAATACCTTGAACCCATAATCCACCGACCTGAAAGTAAAAGAACAAAGTGTAATGGTTTGACTGACTTGGCGAGATAAATGGGTATGATCGCAAATGCTCCACTTCACCACTGAGATCACGCCTGCGATTTATGTTCTCAGTCGTATCAATTATTGTGTGAGACCTTGTGGATAGCTGTAAAGAGACTATACCTTGACCCAAGCTGCATATTATGTCGTTTTATTCATGAAGTTTCTCCAAAACGTGATGGTCATTGTGTGATGGTTCGCAATGTAGACTGGCTCTGGTGGCCGCGTAGCTCCTTTAGCTCAGTGTAGATTGTCACTGATAACTTGCTGGTTCGTTGCTGGATGGGCTTGCCTTGCTTGTCAAGGACCCGGCCTGTACCCGTATTGTGTTCTTATTCGGGGTCTTTGTGGGACTGAGGGACGACCCCTACGAGCGGCTCTGGGGAATATAATCTTCGGGTCAGCAATGATTCCCAGTGTAGGAGGATCTGAAACCTAGCATATTCATGTCATAGAGCAGTAGAAACTTGCCAAAATGGGCAGATCGACACTTGGCACTGAGTCGTCACTTCGGAGGGTAGAGCACCACGGAGAGATCCGCGCTTTTGGCTAAGAGACATAGTGACAGGAGCCCCCACCATGGTTGTATTCTAGACTGTAGTAGATCTAGTGACACGAAATAGCCAAGGCTTTCATTCGACCATGGGAGAAAAGTCTATTCGGCAAGCCGAGTGCACTGACCTTCGGCAAGCCGACTGCTATTCAGCCGCAACCACATGGCACAGATCTCAAGTCTACATGTACATCATTGAGCAGCCATTAGGGATGTCTACATATAGCTCAATCTAGGCAAAATACAATCGAATATACATAGAGAAAGGTTCAATATACATTGCACCGTTGAAAGAGACGCCCTATTCCTAGAAAAAGAGCATTCAAGGGACCACGGAGACATCCCATTGTTCTCTTTATTGGAGGTTGATTTCATAATAGCCATTGTTAAAGAAAGATCTAGTCACCAGCATACAATGGGGGAGCATATTGATTGGCCCAGGGGGTGAGACCAAGTCATTGAGCAAGGTCGTTGACCAATGGGGTCTCAGGGCCTCACTTTCACGTCGTGTGTCGAGGCCTATATCTTCTCTCCTCCCCTCCCAACTTCTCTTTCCTTCTTCTCCTCTCCCCTCTTTCTTCCCCATACTCATTACTATTTCTTTCTCTGCTTTGTATCTCATCTGCAAAGCATCCTGAGACTCGTTGTTTTGAAACATCTTGTTTCCTGTTAGTCCCAATCACCTTTGCCAGTCTTGTCTACCATTTCTGACTCCTTGTCACATAGCCATCCATGTCCAGTCTCTGGACACCTGTTGCAAGACTTGTTCCTTTCAAGTTACCAAGTCACCACTTATCGTTCTGTGTAAGACTCCCAAGCCCTTTTCTTTTCCTTCGCATGGCCTCTAACCACTCCCAATGTAGCAAGCATTGACAACTTTCCTGAGTCTCCAAGTGACTCTCATCCTGTGTCACCTTTCTCTATTGTGAGCTCGGCTGTCCATGAAAGTCACCTTTTGCAAGCATTATATCTAACCTCTTCCAAAGGTCAAGATGGCAACCCAGCAGGGACCGGCCCGCCGTAACGGTGTCATTGGGTTCCAAATGACGGGTGCCTCTACCCCCGCCATCCCTCTGAACACCCCACGCCGCAATGGACCCATTGGCTTCCAAATGATGCCTGGTTCTTCTCACATTGCCAACCCCTCCTCTTCTCTCATTAACCAGGGTCCTCCGCACGGGATCACCCCCTGGTGGGCCCCGACACAGCCCATTCTTCCCCCTCAGTGCCCGACCAAGTCAGGCACAGCGCGAGGTCAGCGCGCTCAATGCAAAACTGACCGATGCCGAAGCGACAATCTATCGGCAAGAGATGGAGCTGGACCGGGCCAAGTCCCAGGCCTCGGCCCTCCAATCTCAAATAAAAAACCAGCGAGCCACCACTCGCTTCGTCGAACAAGACAAGATGGACCAGATGGTCCGTCAATCGACTACCAACCGGGCGCGCGATATCGATGGCCAATTCAAGGCCATCGAGAGCAGATTAGACCAGGTGTCCGAGGACCTGGAACGTGCCGAGGGCAGCAAAAGTGCCCTCAAAAAATAAAGCAAACTATCGAGCAGGACCGGGCAGATATCCAGGACCTGCGAAAGGTAGTTTGCGCGGCAGAAGTCAACCTGCGGCGACAAGAACGCCTTACGGGTGCGGAGGACCGTATGAACGGCCTCCTGAAGAATATGGAGAGAATGCTTGCTGCGGCTATGCAAAACACAAGGGAAAACAAGGTTCTGACTCGCAAGGTACCAATTGCTGAGTCCTCGACCAACCCTGTGAGCATTGCGCGTCGCCATGTCGTGGGAAGCCAGGAACAAGGCTCCCATGGGCAAGTATTTGATCCTCACCCGCGGCAACTCGGCAAGGGAAAGGAACGTGGCCCAAGATCGCTCCGTCCTGAGGATCTCCACGTTGATGGGTATATTAGCTCCAACGTTGATGTTTCCGGTGGCTCTTTGAGATCTCGATCGGAGAGTACCAGCGTTATTTCTGATGTTATGCCATTGGATAGTTGCAGATCATCACGCGAAGGGTCACCTATGGATATCACCACTGAGGCCCCTGAGGTCACTGATCCCAGCGTTCTTTCTGATGTTATGCCATTGGATAGTTGCAGATCATCACGCGAAGGGTCACCCATGGATCTCACCACTGATGCCACTGAGGTCACTGATCCCAGCGTTCTTTCTGATGTTATTATGTCATTGGATAGTTGCAGATCATCACGCGAAGGGTCACCCATGGATATCACTACTGAGGCCACTGAACAAGAACTTGCCGCCCATATGTCGCAGGTGGACGACCAAAATGCAGCGGTTCACGAAGCACCAGCTACCACCCTTGCCATCACTCCCCAGCAAGTGGAGACTTACGACATGATGGAAAATAGAAACCAACTCTTTTACTTCGAACTTGCAAAGCTGAACGGCGAGGCCTTTGACGGGTATATGGAATGGGAGCCAGCAGAGACGACCACAGTTTTCAACAAAGATGACCAGGCGGCTCCGAGCCAGGCATCTAGTGGTCCAAGCCTACCCTTCCTTCCTGTCGATTCCAATGAGAATGTCCTCATGATTCCCGGCCAAGTAACCAGCGCCGTGATCCCCCCAGATACCAGCAGTCCCTGTGATATTCCGACATCACTGCCATTGAGAAAAACAATCGCAAACCGTATGGCGACCGCACGTGCAATGAAATTGCCCAGCAACCGCAGGCGCGTGTTTAAACGGAAGGACCGTCCTACCGGGAGTCTTCGTCGTTCCGTGCGTCAGAGGGTGATTAAGTCCGTCAATCTCCCAGTACGAAAACGGACAGCTGGTATTGTTGAGTTCGGCCACAACGAAGGACCAAACCGCAAGAAGAGAATCACAAAAGAGTTGGTGGAAGCCAACGGATCGCAGTTGCTTTCCCTTTCTGAAGTATATGTGATGAACACAGCCCCGAAAGTGCCAGAGGTGAGTGTGCCAGCTGTTTCGCAGCCAGCTCAATCTGTGCAAGTTTCGACAGAGGAGGTGCCCACCCAGGCAGTCATGAGTGAGCCAGCTGTTTCGCAGCCAACTCAGATTGTTTTGGAGTACACTGAGTACACTGAGTCTGCTATGACCGAGCAGGCAGTTATGAGTGAGCCAGCTGTTTCTCAGCCAACTCAGACTGTTCTGGAGTACAACGAGACCGTCCCGACCGAGCAGGTGCCCACTGAGGCAGCTATGAGTGCGCCAGCTGTTCCCCAGCCGACTCAAGCTGCCCAGGAGGCCACTGAGCAGGTTCCTATCGATGCAGCTCTGAGCGAGCCCGCTGTTTCTCAGCCGACTCAAGCTGTGTCAGAGGACGATGAGAGTCTCGAGACCGTGCAGGTGCCTACCGAGGCAGTTATGAGTGTGCCAGCTGTTTCCCAGCCGACTCAAACTGTCTTGGAGTCCACTGTGCCCGAGTCCAGTGTGCTTCAGTCCACCTCGCTCGCGTCAATTGTGTCCATCCCATCTGACGAAGTTGTGGGTGCGCCTGCTCCTAGTGAGCCAGCCCCAACAAAGTCAGCCCAGACTGAGCCATCGTCAGCTGAGGAAATTCAGAGTGTGCCTGCTGCTACTAAGCCGACTCTGAATGAATCAGACCTGACTTGGCAGACCGAAGATGAGCTTGTTATTCCGAGCCTGCGGACCGGTACCCGTTCGCACCTCGATGTCTTGCTTGATATGCGAGCGGCAAGGATTCAAGCTCGTCGTAACATCATGTCTTCTCCTGAGGGGTTGCAGCTCACAGCAGCCTCTCGAATTATCTCCACCTCTTCCCTGGTCGCCAGTCCCGAAGACGCCTCGGTCAAGAATGCCGTTGCAACAGGGACAGATTCCCGTGCGGGGGTTTCGAAGGGCACCAAGAGGGTCGAGGACGCCAACCCGACTTGCGGCGCTCAACGGACTGCAGGAGAACAGCGGGAGGAAATTTGCGGAGAGGAGGCAGCGACTTCTGGTCTTCAAATGCCAGGAGCTTGGCCTTCCGACCCACCCGCTGTCACTGTATCTGACGAGTCAGACACGCATGAGGGATCGGCTTTGCTGAGGGGGGTTGTGGACAGGAGCTCGTTGGGCGTCCTTTGGTTTATTCGTCATGGTGATGGTGATGCTGCTGTCGTTCCCCGTATGGGCAGGTCACCTTGGACACCTCGTTTACGCCTTGGAGGGTCCCGAACAGTTCCTGGAGGAACTGCGGTGGGAGCACGGATATGATGTTCCGTTCTTGGAGCGGATTATCTATGTCTTCCTCCGTTGTTTTGCCGGAGATCGGACTTTGTTCGGTTAACGGCAAGTGGTACGCACTCCATCAAGGGGAGGGACGAATGGGCCACCCCTTGGTGGATAATATGATATTACAACGACAAGGCAGGAAGCTGGCAAGTCCGACGATTGCTGCTTCACCTGCACAAGTACAACGAACAGCGGCCAAGGGGAGGGACGAATGGGCCACCTCTTGGGACCGCAACAACGACAATGCAGCAAGCCGGCAAGTCCGATGATTGCCGCTTCACCTGCACAGTTACAGCGACATGTGTCTGTTACCAAAGACACAGTGACAAGAACCCATTGTTTGAGTACCCTTGTTTCCCTCACCCGGAGGGTGACGGATGATTATCATTGTCGACGCCCATGGCACTTTGTCAGGGTACCTGATCTGAGTTGTGTTCGATTTTCTTGTTCGCCCACCCTTCGGGGTGGTCTATGGTTATTTGTGTCGGTTGTCGAAAGACAACATGTACGATTTGTTTGTTGTCCACCCTTTCGGGTGATGTACGATTTTTTGTTGGCCGTTGAAAGACATCATGTTTGAGTACTGTTTTGACGCAATGTCCGAGTCCGTGTTGGCTCAATGTTTGATTTCATGTTTGAACATGTCAGACTACAATGTCTGGGCCCTGAAGTATATTATATTCGGGTATATTTTGCTTTGCCTACCCAGAAAACTGGGTAGAAGATGTGCAATCGGCGCAGTCCTACCGACACATGAGAACGAGTTATACCACGATCACAATATACAATGCCGCCTGCGTGTTCAGCGGGCTGGCCATGCAATTCCGCCAACAACACGCCAGCTCCTGGGAGCGGAGAGCATTATATGATCTCCCAGGAGCTGACACGATGGTACAACGAATACCATCTGCATGGTCGGCCTGCTGAACACGCAGCAGGAACACTAGCCAGCCCCTGGGAGATTCTAACATTATATCATCTCCCGGGGGCTGGCCACATGGCACAAAAGCTGCCATTTGCATGTTCAGCAGGCCGACCAAACAATACCATCAGCATGGTCGGCCTGCTGAACACGCAGCAGGAACACCAGCCAGCCCCTGGGAGATTGCAACATTATATCTCCCAGGGGCTGGCCACATGGCACAAACGCTGCCATCTGCGTGTTCAGCAGGCTGACCATGCCACCTTCAGCAATATCGAGCTCCTGGGAGCAGGATACATTACATGATCTCCCAGAAGCTGGCTGCATGGTCGGCCTGCTGGACACGCCAATCCACCAAAGATACGCCAGCCTCTAGGGGATGGGACCATTATATTACCTCCTAGGGCTGGTAACATGGCACAAAAGCTGCCACCTGCGTGTTCAGCGGGCTGGCCATATAACTTTGCAGCAAAACGTCGGCTCCAAGAAGTGGGGACATTACATGGTTTCCTCGGAGCTGGCTGCATGGTCAGCCTGCTGAACACGCCAATTCACCAAAGACACGCCAGCTCCTAGGGGATGGGACCATTATATGATCCCCTGGGGGCTGGCAACATGGCAGAAACACTACTGCCACCTGCATGGTCAGCCTGCTGAGCACGCCAGTTCGCCAACGACAAGCCAGCCCCTAGGAGCTGGGGACATAAAATGATCTCCTAGGGGCTGACAACATGGCACAAAAGCTGCCATCTGCGTGTTCAGCAGGTTGACCATGCCAATTTCACCACATAGCACACCAGCCCCTAGGAGCTAGGGACATCAAATGGTCTCCTAGGGGCTGACATCATGGGATAAGCAGCAGCCAGCTCCTGGGATTTGGGAGCATAATTTGATCTCCCAGGAGCTGGGGGCATTATACAACCTTCCCAAAGCTGGAAGGCATGATACTGCAGTATACGCCACAGTGTGGCACAAAAAAAACAAATTGGTGGCCCCTGCACGTCTACCAGGTCGACTATGCGTATTTCGTGCTCAGCGAAACTCCACAGCAGCATCAAAATTGTGTTTCGCGACCTTGAAACATATACCGCAGTACCGTGTATAATTCGCCACCCTCGGGGGATATCATGCCAACTCTAAGCAGTTAAAAGCGATGTATCAAACCAGAATACTGCGATATATGACCATCAGCATGATTTCAAGCGCATCCCCAATTGGCATGGGACTGCAGTCCTCGCCATCTTGATTTTTACAGAAATATCATGGGAACGATACACCACGATATGCAACTCGGCGATAAAAGGGTCTTTTTCGTGGAGCCTACGAATCTGAACGCGAATTTCCAAAGTCCGAAGGATGCCGCCTACACAGTCAGCAGGCTGACTGACCACTATCCACCAATGACGGCACGAGCCACGCAGGAGCTGGCGTCACCCACTCCACTTCCCGCTGAAAGAAGATCACTTATCTCCATACCCCCTCGACATATTGTTCACCACGTTATTGAGTCTCCTCCTATCATCGACTTTAAGGAGAGAAGCATCGCCTTGCTTCTGACTTGCATTTTTTGCGTCAATCTTGATTTCCTTCCATCACCATGTTTGTGCGCTCCGTCTTGCTGGGTGGCGCCGCCGCTCTTAGCGCCAGCGCGATGCTGGTCGTCCCCGAGATGGAACCTAAAGTCGATATTATTGAAGATGGATTTGTGAACGTCCACCCGATGCTTTTGGAGGATGTTCATCATGCGATTGTTGACCTCCCCTGCTCTGAATGTCCTCTGCGTGAAACCAACAGCGAAGGCGTTGTTAGCTGGACGGAGGGCAAACCATCATCTTTGGTAAGGATGACAGAATCTATTTATTCACTGGAACTGGCTAACAAAACCCCCATAGACCCTTGATTTCTCGATTGAAGACAACCTCCTGCTGGCCAACGGCCGCCAAATATTCCCGCCGGCCCCGCCCATTCCAATTCTTGCTGTGCAACAAAATGAAGAGGGAGAGGACTCCGCCCCCATGCCTGTTGGATATGCGCTTGAGATCATGCCGATGGCCGCACCATCTGATGAGCCGGGATACGAACTCCTGGATATTCGATTCACTGTTCTCGACCTGGAAAGCCACCCGGTCCCTGTCGATACCGTTGCAATCACCGTTCTACAGGATCCCAACGGCGAGCTCTTCATCGTTCGGACCGATATCGAGAACACTGCCCCTGCCTCCGACCGCCTGTCCTGGAAGGAGTGCCATGGCAAGGCCAAATGCCTGCAGGAACTTTTGGTCTCTCGCATTCGGGGCCTCTTGGCTGGCGCCAAGGCTCGTGTGATGGGCATGGCCAAAGCCGGCCGCAAGAGCTGCCATGGCAAACACAAGGGCAAGGCAATGGGCCACCACGAAGAAGACCATGACGGTATGCCCTTCCCTCCCCCACCTCCTTTTGAGGGAGAGGACTCTGGCCGTGAAAAGTTTGGCCCTGGTGGTCACCATGGCCACGCCCATGGCTCCGCTCGCCCTCACCATCACCACCCACACCACGGCGCTTTCGCCCGCACTTTCTCTCGCATTGTGCACTTCATTGTTGTCCCCGCTATCCTGGGTGTCCTGGCTGGATTGACTGCTAGTGCTATTGGCATGTTGGTCGGCCAGGCTGTGGTTTTCCTCTGGCAACGCTACCGCGGGACCACTCCTTCAGAGCACAAGGCCGCCTGGGAAGATGGCGAGGCCTGTGAAAAGCAGGGCCTCATGACCATCCCTCGTCCCTCCGAGGAGGTCCTCCCTGAATACACCGAACCTTCTGAGGTCCGAGAATCACTCGATAAGAACTAAGAGAAATAAAGGAAAAAAAAAAGGGAAAAAAAAAAAAAAAAAAAGGAAAGCATGTTGATGTTGTCTTTTCAACTGGGCTTTCCTTCCTACACTCAACAAAAAATACAAAAACACAAATACAAAGGCATTCCTTTGAGTCATCTTTCGACCAAGGGCCATCACCAGCCACCCGTTCAATCTATTTCCCTGAACAAGACAGATTCCTTGGGAAAACCAGACCAAGATCAAGATCACGAAGAAGACAAACAGAAACAAGACCAATATTACGAACAAGACCAAGCACAGCATCAAACACACAAAAGCGAGAATACAACGAGCACAGCAAAAACAAGATCCCCACTATCCTTTATCAACAGGCGTTGCCGACCGGACTCTCCTTTCCACTCATTTGCCAGGCCAACGGGCCAGAAAATGCTGAGCCATCTGACGCTTAAGGGTCGTCGACGAGAACAAAGACAAACTCCACAAGTTCATTATCGTTCACCCCTGGCCAGAACCTGTCAGACTGGACTTTCCACTTTTTTCACAGTCAAACTTCACATTCATGCAATGCTACAGCACGAGGAACTCGACAAGAACAGAAAAAAAAAAAAAAAAAAACACCGTTCCGCTGTCTTTTGCCCTATGACCATCACTAGCCAAACTGGGCTCTCTCTTTTCTCCACAGCCAATACTTCTTACAGGCCCCTCTGACACTTCACAATCACGAGACAAGAACAAAACGCAAGTTCCGCTGTGTCACTGTATTCTGATTAAGGACCAATACCACCTGCGCAGTCTGCACTGTGCTGAGTCAATGTTCTATGCTTGTTCGCTCGGGCTGGGCTACCCCACGCCCAATTTTCAATGGCCAATGATTGCCTTTAGCTTGATCTTGTTCGAATCTATTATGTTTCAATTTGTCCTTTCGCTCTTGGTTTTGCATACCTCTTCTTCTATTACTAAGTCTTGAATTCTTACTCTTATTTCACCTACATTCTGTTCTATTCTCAATTTTTATTTTGTCTCAATGTTTTATTTTGCTCTCATATCCAGCTTGGACAGTGTTTTCAATTCCCAATTTTCGTCTGACGATAAGATGTTCGTCTCCTACCATCTCAGGCTTGCGCGGTGTTTCTTGTGCAGTGTTTATATCCATGTCAATCAAGCCTTATAAATTGAAATATCTCTAGTTCTTAGGCTTTTCTCTGTAGTATAGGATGGTAGTCCACTATACTGGTATTCTATTCTGGTTACGACGCTAATAAAGGGGCATGTCAAGAAACTACAAAAAAAGACATAAGGCTCCAAAGTCGACCTACCTTTCTTGTTATATATAATACAGACGTAAATACTATAAATATCTTGGGATTTCTGTCACAGGTGTCTTCCCTCGTAGCGATTGGTCTACATATATAGAGTAAAGACTTCAAGGTACCCAAGGCCGTAACAGCGAAAAGAAGAACATCTACAGAGGACTATTCCAAATATAACTTTTGAATGCTGTGATGCCAAGCTATGGATAAGGCTGAGGACAGTCACGTGAAACCAGCATCATCACGCCCCCTCTTATCAATCCGACAACAACAACCCGACGCAATACTCTTGTTCTGCAGGCCTATTCCTCGGCCAAGGATGATTTAGCTTGTACGATGACCTTGAAACTTCAATTTAAACTACGCACGGGCTTTTTTTCCTACTCCTAGCCCGGATCTTGCTGCACTCAAAGTCCCTAACTGTAGCTTGATCCCGACATCGTCGGTTATCGGCTTCAGGACATTCTCACAAATTCCCACATCCACCTCTCCAACATGATACCGTGGTCATCCTTCGTTCAGAAGGCCCAGAGCCTGATTGACCCTGCCAACTTCAACATTCCCGCCCTATCCTCGCCCGATCATAATCCCTCCAAGGCATCGCTGTTCCGGCAACAATTCCGCCTCCCTGACTCCCAGAACCCGCTTCAAGAGATCACCGCTGATCTCGTCATACCACTACCAAATTCCTCGGCCAATCAAGGAGATGGCTCCCGCAGGCTTGACCGGGCGGGAAATACATACACCGGACGTCTACATCTGAGTGAACGTTTCATCTGCTTTTCAACCCAGCCGACGAGCTTCATCCCCTCTGCCACTGCAAGTGCCTCAACTACTTGGACTGGCCAGACACATGGCACTGGGCCATCCGGAAATGGATTCATTCTCCCGCTATCCTGCATACGACGTGTCGAACGCCTTCATAGCGCCAACCATGTTTTCTCTCTGGCACTCACAACATGGAATGGTTTGCTCAATAAGCAACAAGAACCCAATTTCGCCCCTCAACGCCTCATATTGCAGCTTGTCGGTAGCAGACAGGCCTGCGAGCGATTCTGTGACACACTGAAAAAAGGCCTACGGGAAGGAATGAAGGAGGTTGATAGCTTGCGGACCGTCGTCTCGGATTGTTATTCGGAATATTTGCTCTCAGGCGCAAAGGGAAAGGGACAAGATGGGAATGAGGCTGACACTCGTCAACCTCCGGATGCGGGACTTGGGCTGATTTTCCGCTACCCTGGTGATGCACGCAAGCTGCGTGATCGCAGCAAGATGAGACTGTGGGGCGAATACTTTCGAGGTAAAAAGACATCTATATTTTTTTGATTGAATATTCTGAGATCTGATCGATACCTACTAGAAAACGGTCGCAATGCGACGTTGATTCGCCAACCAACCTTCCACAAGCTAATCAGAGTTGGGTTGCCAAATCGGTTACGCGGAGAAATATGGGAGCTTACATCTGGTTCTCTGTTCCTTCGTCTACACTCTCCGAAGCTGTATCAACAGACATTGGCCAAATTTGAGGGACAAGAATCCCTTGCTATCGATGAGATTGAGAAAGATTTGAATCGCAGTCTACCAGAGTATCCTGGATTCCAGAGCGAAGAAGGCATTGGACGTTTGCGACGAGTTCTCACTGCCTACAGTTGGATTGACCCGGAGATTGGGTATTGCCAAGCCATGAACATTGTGGTTGCCGCATTATTGATGTATGTTTAGAATCTCAAGGTGCCAAGGGTGTCTGCTAACTTGACTAGATATATGTCAGAGGCCCAGGCCTTTTTCCTTCTCTCTGTGCTATGTGGCCGTCTCCTACCCGGTTACTATTCAACAACAATGTACGGCACACTACTCGACCAGAAGGTGTTTGAGTCTCTGGTTGAGAAAACAATGCCAGTTCTCTGGGATCACCTCACCAAATCAGATGTACAACTTTCCGTGGTATCGTTGCCATGGTTTCTCTCCCTCTACATTAACTCCATGCCGCTCGTCTTTGCTTTCCGGGTCTTGGATGTGTTTTTCTTAGAAGGGCCAAAAGTCCTCTTCCAGGTCGGTCTTGCCATTCTCCGAGTTAACGGCGAGGAGCTTCTCGAAACACAAGACGACGGTTCGTTTATCTCTGTTTTGAAATCATATTTCTCACGATTGGATGAATCTGCCCACCCCAGATCAGAGAATCCCAAGCTGCGGGCCATCACTAGATTCCAAGAATTGATGGTGGTTGCTTTCAAGGAATTTTCTGGCATTACTCACAGCACCATCACTGAGACACGTGAAAAGCACAAGGGTGCTGTGCTAGAGAACATCGAGACTTTTGCGAAGCGTACTTCTATCCGCAACCTTGGACCTGAAAGCAAACGCCTGAGCGTGGATGACCTTGGAACAATATACGACCGCTTTTATGAAACGTTGTACCAGTGGGAACAACACCAGAGAGTTATCGAGGAAGAGACCAGGCGACAAGAAAGGAAGAAATCCCAACGCCTTTCTATGCTTGCTCCTCCTGCGGACACCCAAGTTGGCCGTGTTGGTCTTGGACCTAGCCCTACGCATATGGATTATGACGCTTTCCGAGAGTTTTTAGCCGCCACAGCAAAATGGGCGGTCGCCGACTCCCCTGGTCCATCAAGGAAAGAATCCTCATCGGGGAAGTCGGCATTGTGGGCGAACCGCAGGCAGCCAGCAGACCATGAGTTCATGCAACGCCTCTACCGCAAGTGGGCCACCGACCCCGAGGAGGGATTGAATCTTCAAAATGTGGTGAATGGTCTCGCGCGCCTGAAGGGATCCCCTGACATCATGAATAACATCAACTATTTCTTCGACCTGTACGACGACAGTGGAAATGGCCAGGTTGATCGCGAGGGGATCCTCAAAATCTCCGAAGCGCTGTTGTTCCTCTCCCGGCGTGGATTCGAGGGCACCATCACGGCCACTCCATCCGTGGAAAATCTGAACTCGTCGGGAGACCGCGATCATGCTGAGAACTCGCTCACCACGGACGAGAAATTCCTCGGTAGTGTTAGCGCATTTATCCGCCGCTGTTTCGAATACGCCGACCCCAGCCACCCAGAGAACCAAAAAGCGGACCAGCAAGATGCAACGGCAGAGGCAACTGAGAAGTTAGACTCATTTGCCATTGGCGACGACGAAGAAGAAGAAGACCTGATTGATATTGATGATGATGCCAAGTCCACCAACTCTCCAGCACCAGACGTAACCCCCCAGTCAGCCAAGTCTACTCCTGCCGAATCAGACAATAACGCCCATAACCGCTCAGCATCTGAGTCTGCCAACCCCGCTCTCGACCCTAATAATCCCCTACATATCACACTCCCCACTTTCCGAATGGTTGTCCTGGCCGACGAACTTCTAGAGCAGTTCTTCGAATCATACTTCCCTCAATCCTTCCACCTCTCCGACCATCCCCACCCCGCAGCTCTAGCTGCATCATCCTCAATGTCATCCAACCTCACAACCTTCTCCAACCTCGGCAGTATCCGTCCCTCTGGACTCGCCGCCGGCTCTGCACCCGTCGCAGGCGCCTCAGGGGGCATCGTGCCACCAGGAAAGGGCCTCCGCGGCGTCCTCGACAACATCGTTTCAGATGGAATCCGCATGGCCGCCGAGGTCAAAAAGCGGATGGACGAGGCCCAGCGCGATCTCGAGCGTAATGCACTTGGCCGCGAGGAAGAAGAAGACGACGATGACGATGACGACTACCCCCGTCGTGAGCACGCTGCCACTGCCATCCCCGGCGGTATCCCCAGCTGGGGCGCTGGCGCGTATGGCGCTGATCCGGAGCGTCGTAGCGTTGTACGTGACACTGACCGTGATCTCCTTGAAGGAGCCGAGGTGCTTGATGGTGGAAAGGAAGATAAATCTTCTCTCTTGGACGGAAAGGATAATGCGAATCACGCTCCTCGCAAGGTTTCCGGTTCTGCGGCTTCTGCTAAGGGCCGTGGCTCCCCCACAGTCCGTGATGGCGAGGTTATTAGCAAGCTCGTCGACTTTGAGTCATGATATCCTTGCATACTGTCTTATGTCATATACGGTTTGGCCGCCATCTCATCTGTTTTTGTCTCATTGTACTACAACCCTTGGTTTGGATATTTCAATTCATTTCCCGATTGCGTGGTTCCCCTGGGGTGGAATCTGAACTTTTAGATCCCTTTAGAAAGAACGCTACACTTGGAGCATTTCTTATTTATTGGATATATGGATTCGATGTAGCTACTCTTCGTACATGCACCGAGTTCTAGTTATCAAGTATTTGCGATTCACGTAAATATGTCAAGATCAAAAATAGATTCAGACTTATATGTTTCCACCGACTAAATCAAAAATCATAAGGGCAAAAGTAAGTAGCCCTGAAACAAAAGTGTTTTGAATTCAGGGAATCGTCAAGTCATAAGATGTAATGACGTTTCCTATGTACAGCATTATCATCAAGTAGGCCGGAACAATCCCAGGGGGTGGAAGCAATCAATCACCACCAAACCTTCGAAGTAGAAGTATAGTGACGTTGTGTGACGACGGCGCAGGAGAAGAAGAAAAAAGGGTATAAAACAAGCATAGGCATGGAGAAACGGGGCACCGTCCATAGACAAAAGGTGTAACCACGGCGGAGAATAAAAGGCCCAAAAGTAGAAAGGGATGAAAAGGGTGGGTGAGGTGAATAAGAGGTGGACGAAAATGCGAAGAGAAAAGGGTAAGCTGGAGATAGAAGATGCAAGCTCCAAGAGAAGTAGTAAGACTCCCAAGATGGAAATAAAATGTGAACCAGAGCGACGCAAAGACGGTCAACTGGGTATTGGTTTAGTCCTTTTGCCCCTCATTCTCGAGAAGTTCTAAGACAATCTGGCTCCGCTCATATTCTGGGTGTTGCATGCAGATTTTGACCGTATTGCCCATGCTCGGGGAGCCTGAGGAGCCATTAGTCGCATCAGAGAAGCCGCTACCAAGACCCGAGCCACCGGTGTTGGCCTGCGCATTTCCATTGAGCGAGCCAGGGACCTTGCTGCCGTCGTCGATACATACGACATTGTGGCCAGGAATAACCTGGCGCAAGCGGCCGTTCATGGCGTTGCGGACTTCGACGAAGTCGTCGTTGAAGAGAATTAGGAACTTGCCATAGAGACAGGCTGTGTGTGCGCTGCCCACGAACTCCATGACCACACTGCGAGAGACGTCGCCGTGCTTGTTGACGTACACAGCGCACTGCTGGTAAGCTACTAGGAACTCGCTCTCGCTGAGACGGAACATGCCTAGTGGCTTCAGCCCGCTGATGCGATTGGAAATACTGTTTAAGGTATCGTGTGCATCTTGCGTATCGTTGGAGCTGAAGTCTGGGACAGACCATGAGAGTTTCTTGTCGAGGGTGAGGACTTCGATGCCCTTTTGAGTTGAGATGGCAAGTGAGAAGTGGAACATGTTAATTCGGTAGGTCTCGGCAGGGATGTAGAACTCGTCGTAATCACGGAAGAACTCCGTTTGTGAGCGACGTGAGAACAAGCGGCTCTTATTTGTGGATGATTTTTGCAGGACGGGCTCGAGAACCTAGATTTTGTATGTGAGTTTGCTGTTGTTGTATCGAGCTCGCTACGACTGTACATACCTTGAATGTAGATGATAATCCCTCACGCTTTTTGTACAGAACCAAGTACCGGTCCTTTAGACGACCAGCGGCAAAGAATCCCACTTCACGGTTTCCAGACAGCTTCTGTGGGGCTCGTCGAGCAGAATCCTGAGATGACTGGGAAGTCTTCCCATTGGCGGGACAGACCACGTCCAGGTGATATGCAATCAAAGACCGATCTGCAATCAACAACAGCAGATTGAAATCTTCAAAAACTGCAACTTGTGTGACTCGCGTGATGGGAATAGCCCTGTACCAACCGCGTGGGTTATTAAGCTCAGACATGTACAGTCCATATTCCGTGCCAATAGCACACATAATGCGCCCAGGTGGCTGTTGGAAGACCGTGGCACAGTTGACTGCAGTTTTGCATACCGCGGGAGGACGAGTCTTCGAGCTTTCATATTTTTTCTCGACTTCTTTGATCGCACGATGGAGAGGGGTGCCCTTGATGGTGACACTTGTAGAGCCGGGTGTATGATCGGAGTATGCGAACGCAGTATCCGCAAGCACACGGAGTCGGAATGGCTCGGCGTTCTGCGAGAAGAGAGCAGCAGCATGCTTTGTCTTTGCTTCGATGATTTTTCGACACCATTCCAGGCGGCTTTGTGCTGAGAAGGCGTACAGAGTATATGTTCCAGTTTTGCCTAGATGCTTGATTTTGAAAGGGTACAGGATCTTGTCGTCCCTTGAGGTGTCAACGGCCCCATTTGATGCCCCAGACCCTGTATGTGCGAGAGGGCTGCCAGCACCCGCCTGGGAGGGCGTGAGAGTCGAAACTCCCCTGACGGATGATTTGACCACAGGATCATCGTCGGTGCTTTCCAGGCCCAATAGGTCCATTGGGATGGGCAGTTTTGAAATATCGTATCGCTCGTACTTCACTGCCCGGTCGCGCATTGTGAATATCTTGGCGAGAACAAGATAATGGTCGAACAAGATGGCGTGTGTATCGACAAGGAATCTTGTGCGGGTTCCAGGACGTTGCAGCTCGCCTCGATGGATGATCTGTCGACCCAAGTGTTCGAGATTGAGTTCAACTTCCTTCTTCATGTCGGGTCGCAACTGCAGCTTGGATGCCAACTCCATTAAGTCGGCCTTCTTGTTCATCTCTCCCACTTTGTTGTCACATTCTAGCGCCACGACCTTGATTTCTTCAATAGCCTGTGCCAGATTGGTCTTTTCTTCGGAATCCTTGACCATATTCTTGTGTACAGTCGCCAGCAGAAGAGTATACCGCTGGATTCTGGTAATCGGAGCTTTGAGGAAAGTATCCCAGCTAAGGCGACTGGACAGTTTGTGCTCCCGCGCTTGGTTCAGGAACTGCTTGAAGTGCGGGTTGCGCTCTGCCTCCTTGCGGACAAGATAGTTTGCCGTTGGGAAGGTTGCAGCATAGTCGATGTAAACATTCTTAGCTTTGCGAATCCATTCCCGGAAGATGTCACTGAATCCAGAGATGAAAGGACCCTGTTCTTTTTGACGATATTTAAGCTGTGCCAACAGGAAATCCTCGTTGACTCTCTTCACAGAATCGACCTTACCAAACACATCAGCCAAGAATTTGGGCAATCGCTTCGCCGGGATGATCGGAGGATTCATCTTAGCCAATTGATCGCGATAAAGTTCTCGTAGGACATCCAGTTGCGTGATGTAAGAGTCTTCCGTGGTGACAATTTCGTGTAAATTGTTTTGCCGATCGACCTCTTTCCTTGGATGAGCTTCCCATACCTCCTTGGGCACCTTGTAGAAAGTGACCCAGTCCTCGACCTTCTTCTGCGGTGCCATCATCTGTGCCTTGAGGTTGACCTTCTTCAATGTCCGCATACAGTGATGCGAGTAACATCGAGCGAAACTATCAGTATCCTCAATGTGCGTCTCATGTAGATGGAGCCTGGGAGAGTAACATCCGGTGCCAGTGATCTGGAACAGGATACCCGAAAGAGTGCCTGAGCCAAACTTGACCCATTCTTCTTCTTTGACCAAGGCACCTTCTTCAAGCATACCACTGACAACACGAGCAGCCAGTGTCTCAGCATCGGCAATGTTCATGGTGGGGACTTTGTGGGTGAACAACGCGACCATGGCATCGGCAATTGTTTGCTCCCTGAGATCTGTTTCGTCTTCACTCAGGTCCTTGATCCAGGACAAGAGAGAACTCAAAGCCCACGGTTCACTGCACTTCTTGAATTGTTCTGACGACAGCTTTGCGGGATGGAACTTCTTGCGCCGGCCAGCCGGGATGCTTGGCAGATCCAGCGTCATAGCCGCCGCTGCAGCCGCCGCTGGGTCGATATGAGGTAGGTCTTTTTGCTGAAGCTGCAAGAGAAGTTCTTGCTGCTGCTGCCTGTATCTGAGCCGGTCCGCATCGGTTTTCGATCTGATGGGTGCATCAGTACGAGGTCCAATAGGAGTCGACAAAGATGACGACCGCGGAACTTGGGAGGTGCTCATCAAAGCATCACCATAAGAATCCGCAGACGTCGGCAGGGAGGGGTTGTTATACTGTGAATAACTATCCAAGTCATCCTGCTGCTCCGAGTGGCGGTTATAGGTGCCCGCAGGCATCAAATGTGACACAAGGTCAACATTACCCGCAGGCTCAACGGGTGCTGGGGGCAATGGACGCATTCCAGGGTGGAAGAACAGATCTTCATGTGCGGATCGGTGAGGGCTCTCGTCATCGGATTGATCTCCAGAATGGGTCTGATATGGTGTTTCTCCTTCATCGCCATAGTCAAAGCTCATCCGTCGGGAATAGGCATCGGGTGCCGATAATCCCCCTGTGCCACTGGCATCTACCCTAGCATCGGCCGGGATATGATGGAGACGTCTGGCATAATCATATGCAATAGGCGGGTGCTCGTATTCACTGTAATACTCACCACGGTCATCGGGAGATACAGAGCTTCTGAATGAACCAGATGTGCCTGGAAACCTGTTGGTCGCGGCAGGGTCCGAGTGATCTTCCGAATTGTAGAATAGTTCCTCTCCATAGGGCAAATTTGCTTGGTATCCTCCTTCGTACTGTGCTAGGTCATGAACGGAATCATTATCACCATTAATATCAGAGTGTGGCGAAGGCCCTCTTGGTGAGACGTTGGATCCATGCGAGCTGAGAACTGAGGCATTGGTCTCGCGTCGCATTCGCCCTTTCTCACGCTCCTCGCGCGCTATATCTTCTTGCATCATAATCAAACCAGCAGTAGCCTCGGGGTCGCTTTCGTCAATATACGCATCATAGTTGACAGTATGCCCCGTGCCTGTCTCCATGTTACCGTTGGTGTGGGTGTGTTCCTCATCAGGCGAGAAGTGCATGCGTGAAGCAGAGCTAGCGTGGGATGCTCTAGAACTGTGACGCCGGGCAAAGTTGTGAGAGTTCAACACAGCCGCCTCGTCCTCTCTGAGCACATCTTCGTATGCCATGGGGGAGCTTCCGCTGGCCAGCCATTTGCCCCTGCTTCGTCGACTGGGGGTCCAGGAAGAGGTCGGGATTGGGGGTGTCGAGTCAAAGTGTCAGTTCGCCTCGGTGGTTGCTGGGGCAAGTCTAACTGCACAGGGGGTGTCGGCAGGGTTCGCCCTGGCCCGGAATGAGACACACTTGGCTGCCTGCCGTATAGGTCATTTGCGTGGGTCTGATGAGCTGGGGGCGCCGGGGGCTGCTCTTCAAAGGAACTGCTTGGGATCGCTGGGGTGTACTGGGGGGAAGGTAAGTCATACGCAGTCCCTTGTGAGTTGCTGTAATAAGGACGTGATGTAGGAGGAGGCATATGCACTATTCCCGGGGAGCTTGACGGCACATAAGAAGGCGAGGGGTTCGGTGACATTGGTTGGTACGAACGTCCTCCATACGGATGATCAGCGCCCCGCGGCGGCGGAAGCGGTGGTTGTTGGGAGAAGCTGTACGATTGTGGGGTCGGCGGCGTTTGTCCGTAGTGCGAAGCTGTGCTTTGTCTTCTGGGTAAGACCGGAGAGCTCAGCCCCGAAACAGCAGCAGACTGGTAGGCTGCAGGATTATATGGTTGATGGCCCGAGGCTGGAGCGGCGTAAGCATTACTGGCGCCAGTGTACGTCTGGGGGTTATAAGCGAGGACCGGCTGCGACTGGGTGTGTGGAAGGCCGTATTGCTGCGGGTTGTAGGCTGGCTGGGACGAGGGTGCTCCGGAGTATTGGTATTGATACGACATGGTGGAGGTTTGTGAAGAGGCGCGACTCGGAGACATGCGCGACATGGCGTCTGACGAAGTCCGCGAATATCTCGAGTCTCTGTCGTCTTCGAAGGCTCCCTGCACAGCGTTGTAGCCCCCCCTGTCCTGCGCTGGTACCATAACCACCACTTTGTGCTGAATACTGTCTGTTTTCTTCGGTCGCTCTCATATTCTGGGCCTGTGCAGGGTTGAAGAATCCAGAATCATCCCCGGCATTGTAACTTGGCATCCGTCGAGGCAGGTGTTGGTCCGGCGTGGGGTTTTGGGACGAATAGGCATCATAGTGGCTGGTGGACGGTTGGACAGAGGCTTGAGGATTTGTGGGTTGGCCGTAGTATGCCTGTTGACCGTTCGGATATTGCGACATGGTTTCGGAGGGGTGAGCGCCGGGCGTGATGTCGACTGGACTCGGCTCGACTTGACGCGCCTAGGATTGCGCGAGAGATTGCTTAGCAGAGCCGTGCAGTCTAGCTTCGGACACTCAGGTGAATGGCAAAACGAGTGACTAGTTCAGAGCAAATCAAACTGATTTGAGTGAGGGGAACGACCACGCGGGCCGGTAACACGCTGGCGAAGAGCTGGCCCTGGGCATCCCCAATGAAACCTTAGAGCGCGATATACTAGCCTTGGTAATGTAGAAACCAAGTCTAGCAAATATGCAAAATCAGGAGTTGTTTTGGGAGGGAAATATGTGGGAGGTGTGTTGGGATTCCACCAGCTGCGCCCACGCTAGTCGAGGTACGGTCTCCACCGCCAACGGGGTTCACCACCTCGTGCACTATGCCTATTGTACTCGGCACAAGAGGCTGAATGATATTTAACATGGACGTCCACGCCCGCGAGTAACTGGTTTTATAATATATGTATGGAGTGTACTAGGTACAACATATATATCCTTTACCTTGAGCTTGTTGCTAATTAATAATTGGTGCCCAGGTGCCCAGAGTCCCAGACGTGCTTATTCCCCGGGCTCCGGTAGGGGTCCAGGGTCATCGTATCATACATATATACAGAGTACATACATAGCTAGAATGCCTCCTATTTTGTATTCACAAACAAGGCCAAACTTCATATATCCATGTCATTAGGAAATATACTGAACCCCAATAGGTAATAGGGGCCCATACATGTAAAAATAAATAATCATGGCCCCCAATTCATTCCGCGTATCCGTTTCGAGGCAAGGCTGAGAGGCTGAGTGAACCGTGTTTGGCCCCACTGCTTACATTGCATCCACAACCACATGTGCAGTGGACTTGGGCAACCAGTATGTTTTCGCCTAAAATGACTCCAGACTCCAGAGATTGAAGGGTATCAAGAATGGGTTCCAGAAAGAGTGATAATTGATGGTTGATGGTTGATGATATCGCTATAGAATGCACACATTTGCATAGGAACCACTGACAGTCATAACAGGGAAAAGAAAACTAGAACTAAAGGATTGGAGAAATGAGATGTTTCATTGAAATAGACGTGTCCACAAATACAAGCATCCTCAATAATAGAAAGAATCAGACTCGAACCACTCCAGTGAGAGTTCGCTATTAAACAATTGCCACATCAACGCATCATCGGGTGCATAGTTTTCATCGCTGGGTGTTTGCAATTGCTGAGGGTGAGCTCCAGCATTGGGGTCCATATCAGGAGATCTAGCCATCAAGAGATGCGCATTTTCATGAGTAGCCGGATGGTCATGCCATGTCCCAGTCATTGAAGGGTATAAGGTAGGAACTTTGGCCTGCGGGCCCATACGCTGCTTGGCTTGGATCAATGGTACACAGAGATTATGCAGGTAGTCGAGAAGTTTCAGCAGTTTTGAGATATATGGACTGGTGGCGAACTGAGATAGGCTTTGCGTGATGTCTTTCATTAAATTGTAGTCATCCATGTCTAATTCTCCAATGATGTTGCAGAAGAGAACATAGAATGGACTCAAGGGGTATAGAAAAACAGTCCTGAGGAAAATGCAGAGATATTAGTCGGAGGACTGATGATGCTTGAAGCACACTAACTAACCATGTTAGGAATGTGGGATAAGGATCCACAAATCCCGGGGTATCCGCAAGATTCTTTTGAAGGTAATGTAGTGCCCTGAGTGATTTCCGAGAATATGACACACATTCCTTGTGTGTCAAAGGAGAAAAAAGTACATTTTAACCGTGATCGAAGAATATCAACCAGAATCGCGTAATAACAAAATTCGCATGAAATCCAATCCGAGGCGATACAGTTTGGTGCCGATGCTCGACTCTAGGGGAGTAGGTTAGCTTGAAGAAAGATAAGTATCTAGTCAAACTCACGGATTGTATGTTTGAATATATGGCCTCCATTCGTTCTTGGAGCCTTGAATGATTGGCGATGATTTGGCGAGTGTTATCTGCCATTCCGCAAATCAGCAGCTCTCCTTGCACTTGAGCTAAATCCAACAAAACCCGTATTAACGGGAAATGGGGAAGAGATCGATCTGCAGTAAGTAGATTCGTGAGAGAGATGCGAGGCTCGGGCAGCGACAGTGGTCGATAAAGAAGGGTGCTCAGAGTTCGGTCAATGTAGAAGCACCAGCACACAGCGCTACGGATCTCTTCATCGAGGTTTGAATTCCCAACCGGATTGCGAATTTCATGATAGCCTAGAGCGGTAATCAAACGAGCAGCGTATGAGTTGAGAATCCAGGATTGGCTCATGTTGCCAAGATACTGCATGAAAAATGCCTGTTCGATGGTTGTGAACAAAAGATTTGTTTATCGAAGAGCGAATGATGACTTACAGCAGATATTAACGCCTGAATGAACGGAAGACTTGGGGTATTCAAGAAATTGAGACTCTTGAGAGCGCGGAAAGCATACGTTTGATATAATTTCTTGGACTTCAGGAATTGTGCGTTGATGCGGGGATCCTTATATGCTCTCGGCTTTTGGTAGAGATGGAAGATGGCCTTCACATAAACGCATACGCAATACTGATAGAATAACTGTCCGTGTTCATGATCATCGTCACTGAGAATGGTCGAAGCCATCTTCTCCAGTGTTTTATCCGAGATGTGGTCAGGCCATTGTACGGAGCTGGAATGTGGAGCGGCAGCTGTTGGCTCTGTATTACTATTAGCGCTGGGATTGGAAATTAAGAGAGCTTTTCATACCTGGAAGAAGCATATAAAGTAGCTCTGGCGATGGGGCAATAAATGGACCATCATGTTCAAGGCCTTCCTGTAGTACTTCCAACGGCAAAGATTTTTCGGTGATTGAGGTTCTCCTCTGCCCCGTAATATCCACAAATTGCAGGGCAGACCTAAGGATTGCCTTCCGTTCACGGTCCATGTGTTCATTTCCATCAAGCTCTCCTTGTATAACGACTCTCGCCTGCTCTGCATGGTGTGTGGTCGATCCAATGGCGCACTCGTCCCCAGCAAGTTGAGATGCACCTTCTATGTGCGACACAGGATCCAGTCTTCTTTTTTTTGAGGGTGTACCTGCGTCATGATAATTTGCAACGTTTGGTGAAATAATGTTTTCGATGCCCCTGATCGATCAATCAATGGGAGTACAGAAGTAAAGAAGAATGGCAATCATACTCTGAAACTGTTCTTTCCAAGGTTAACAATCTTTCTCCGAGAGCCGATATTCTATTATTGGATTCGGTAAGCATGTACCAAGATGGAGTCATATGAAAACATACACCGAGGATGATTCTCGGCGAGGTCGTTTGACTCTTGTACGACTGCACTCGACGCCTGCATCCCTACAATTCGCACAATGTAGCTGCTTATCACAGCGGACCTATTGAAAAACATCAGTCCATGGGCAGTAAAGAGACTCAATGAAATCCTTTAACCTTTCTCGTGTGGCAAAGGTCGCACTAATATCATCAGTATACAAATGCCGAAAGCCATCTGGTGGCACTCACAGCCCGCAGCGCCTCGTCATTCATTTGGTGGATGAATTCGCTGTCACTTCGCGTTATTTACTAGTGTCCACAACGACCTTTCGATATTTCAAACTCCAGATATAAGAAAAGAAAAAAAAAAAAAGAACGTAATGTAGATTGGGCCTTGCGGAGGCCGTGTGCGGAGGCCGCGTGCCGAGAGTGGACCGCGGAGCCTCTTAGTCAGAATCTTCTAAACCGTCGTTTTCCATTTTCGGTCGGACTCCCGACCAAATCAGGAAAGTACATGGACCCCACTATTTATATAATTGGTTCAGGTGGCGACTTGACAACAGTTATGTTTTTATGTTTTTATATATTTAGGATTATTACCATTGAGTGAATTATATTATTATTAGGTTTGAGATCCGAATTGATGCGTTGAATTGAGTGTGAAGCTGACAGACATTTGGTCCAATCTGGAGGCCAAGAATATAGAGAAGATTCTTATGCCATATCTTGTGGTAGTACATATTCCCCAAACAAAAAGATTAAAGCAAAGGTGAAACCGTGTCTATCTAACACTAAAATTGAGGTTATCAATAAAACAAAGCATTGAAAACTGGAATAGGATATATAATATTTGGTACCGCGGTAGTGGCCGTCGATTGATCTCTCTGCGTAGATATAAGTTATAACTAATGGATAGTACACAATAAAAAGCGTAAGTAGTAGGATATATAGCAAAAACAGCAAAACATGCCCGGGCGTATCATAGAAATATCCATCGCAAAAATAGAAAGATTAGCCCGGCAATTAGTACCATTGTGGGTATAAATAAGGTCATTGGTACTCAAGCCATAGAGATCAGCAATCGCAGTTAACAATATATCATTTTCCATCGTAGATTTGATCAGGCGTGAGTGAGAACTGGCCTTTCTGAATCTCTCTCGCATCAACATGGTCGGGCTTGACGTATCTCGCAGTCAAAGCAAAGCGCAACTTGTTCTCAGGCACCACGGAATGCTATGTTGGTCAGATCTGATATTCAATTTTGGTAAAGAGGAGAATAACCACAAACCTCGTAGTACTTCTGAAGATTCTCTCCATGCATAACAACCAGATCACCATGATGAAGCTCCATCTTGATGGTAACTGGGGCCTCCTTTCCCTTGCGGCCCATCGATAGAGCACGACGAGACTCATTGTATTCATCTTGGGAGATCTCACCAGCATCGAACTCCTCCTTTAATGCCCGACGTTCGCCCTCAAACATGCAATCTTTCAGAACAGGATCATCTTGCAGAAGATTCCCAATTTGCTTGGGCTCAGCCCTCCGGGTACAGCCATTGAAATACTTGTACTTCATACGGACGAACATGGCTGCTTTCGCTCCAAGAGACAGTGTGGTGATAGTGGGACCCAGCGAGGACTCGCCATCATCGTGGAACTGAAAAAATGTAGATTAGCGTAGGCCATTGTCAATCTCACAAGTTTGGCTTACTCCGATCTTCATTTCCTCGAAGTAGCCGAGTGTCAGTAACTCATTTGGAGGCAGGTATTCGTCTCCAGAAGAAATAACTGCCTTTTCAGTTGCCCACGACAAACGACCAAGAGCCTGAAGCATGTCGTTGGGGGCTTCATCAAAGCCCTTGGAATCGACAGACACGACATATTTGTAGGGCATACCCTATATTACTTGGTTAGATGAGATGACAACTAAAATGTCAAGGTGGTGCCTCTTCACTTACGTAGTTGACCGCGAAATGTGAGGTCAGTGTACCGGCAACTGTTCCAGTGTGAGAAGCTATATTTCATGGGCTTGTATCTGGCTCACTTACCCAGGCTGGACTGGAGCCGGAATCGTTTGAGACCAAAATCGCCACGTTGAAGATTAATGAAAAGGTCATCAGGTCCATTCGCGCGGCTATTGATTGCTTTGTTGGACACAAAGTGGGTAATGGTGCCCACTCCGTCGAGCTTGTAAGTCAACTTCCGGTAAGGGAAGAAGGTACTGTCGTCAATCTCTGGGATGCTGAACTTCCGATCAAAAAGAATTGCTCGCTTGATCGGCGCCAACTCGAAATGATCGAGAACGACCCGGAGCGAAACGGGGTTCATGTTCATGAACTTTTGAAATGGGCAGCTGTTCGCACATTCCTCACTGATAGAGTCATCATCACATTTCCAGCCTTGCCAGAAAGTTCGTCGAATGCATTTGAAACACATAGGACACACGATTCCCTTCCATGCAATACGAGATGTGCCAACGTCCGCGGCATTCTCATCCAACGTGGACAAAAGATCAGGAACTAGACTGTAGTGAGGTTGGATTGCTGGGTCCGGACGACTCCGAGAGTTCAGGAAACCAGGATTGAAAGTAAGCTCAGCGGGAGGGGAAGCATTCTCGATCTTCCAGAAGTCGACGCAAGCAGGGTCAAGACACATCCAACCTTCCTCGTACAAGCGAACACTTTCAGTGGAGCATCTTTCACACTGGAGGATCTCTGGCTTTGTTTCAAAGTCCCGTTCATCGAGGGGCACCGGAGGGAGAGAGTCCTTGGCCGCCCACCAGCTCTTTTCTGAGAGGTTTAGTTTCTCAAAGCGGACCTTGACTCCATGTTTCTGACCAGTCTTTTCGAACCAGACATTGGTAACACGAAACCAGTCCATGATGTTGTACCGATGCGGAAGCTCTCGGTTGAGAATCTTGTTCTTGCTCCCTAAAATGGTGATCAGCAGGATTCCTTTTAATATAATCTCTGATAAATTACCGATAACAAGCCCAACAGCAAGTTTTGAATTTTGGCTAGCGATGATGCTTTGAACGAGTGCATTCTCCAGGTCTTGGTTCTTTTCGAGGGTCAAGTTTCCCCCCGAGTCTTTAGTGCAGCATCCACCGCTGATGAAAGTCAGCAGAGGCAGGCCGTTATTCTTGAGAAATAATACTCACATTCTGGTAATGATAATTTCCTCGTCGATATAAGTGCGGGTACCACCATCAGCATCAACAAGGAAGCCATAGCAGAAGCCTTCATTGTGATACATTGCGCCTTGGGTGCAACGAAACCATGGAATCGCATCACACAGTTGTTGGCGACCCTAGAAGCAACTTAAGTATAAATGTCATAGGAGTTATAGGCGGTTATTAGTGGCATACCTCTGACCAGGCCGGAGGTGTTCCATAAACCGGCTCAAGAGTTTGATCGTTGACAGCAGCTTCCAGCTGGTCTGAGGAAACTGCTTAGTATCAGCATGTTATATTCCATAGAAAAAGTAAAACAATGTCAATGTCACCTTTTATTGATTGTTCTTTCTTTGTTTTGGCAATACGGCCTGTGCGCACTGGTCTTTCATCCGCCTGACGACGATTGGCAGCAGGGCGTGGTGCCATGTTCCAGAGTTTGTTGTACAATCAAGCTAATTTGTGATGAATCAAGTAAGTACCATATTCAGATATATCCTAGAAGAGACATAACTCCTAACAAGATCATATTTGGTGGTGGAGATCGATAGTTAGACTCACAGTATAGAACGCCCAATGGCACCATAAGAGGTGAATTTGGGTTTTGATTGTGCTCAATATGAAATTTCAGGCAGTATTCAGCTTCGAGAAATCATTCAATGGTGGAGAGGGATGAAAGACGTTGGATGATGGAATGAATTACGAGACGGGAGGATGATGAAGCTGGCCGAGGGCCCAGGATATATTTTGCCAGAGCGGCGTCGAGGTCGGAGTACAGCTGGAAATATACTTTGACCTCATATTATAGTATGAGCTAGTATCGAAGAAGTTTATTGCTCATTGTTAATTCCAAGTCACAAGCAATAGCTTTAAGTTAATTTACTATAAGATGACACCGAGGAATCACCATTTGATAACACAATGAGAGCCCCATCCCACGAGGGTAAGACACTTGAATGCTAACATCCCAGTGGGCTTATCCTACCTAGGTAAGAAGAAGATACTCAAGAAATAATCTTCTCGGTCATGGGTGACTTGTATATGGACTGGCTGACGGGGATATGGGTCGGTAGGCTAAATGGTCGATCATGTATGACATGCGGGTGGTTGACGATGAATATGTACGCCACAACTTTGCTTCGACTGCAGGTTCCACGACAGTAGAACCTAAAGAAGACCTTTTTATATTGCTATTGTACCGGAACATTCGTCAGCTGAGTCAGTCATGTTTTGACATAAATGAAAAATCGTGGATGTTGTCATTTGATTTTGTAGTTAAATAGCTTCATTTGGAAAGGCCTGCTATTGTAGTACAAGGTATCTCGGTGCAGTCCAAGAAGGATAAGCCGGCCGCGGGGACGAGTGGAGATTTGATGATCTATATATACGCCATGGCTACTTTAGATTGGGCATTCTGCTTTTGAAGCAAGTTTAGGAGACAGTTGTCTTAATTTTCCAAAGGCCAACTTGGGATATAATACTATTGAAATTGTTGGCCATTTGTTCCAAATCTAGTACATGGGCCGAATCGCCTTTTTTCTTGAATAAAAAAAAAGAAAAAGAAAATGCACTGGGTGCTATTGGCACATGGCCCGTGAAAAATGAGGAAGGAGTTTCGCCAAACGAAAGGCCGGCTCTGCTAGAATATCCGTCGGTCGAGACTATCACCTATACTCCACAAATCATCATCGGGGATGTCCAGGTTGCCATCGTTGATTTGTGGCGGGAATATGGTATTCCAAAGGTTCTGTGGGGCCTGTCAGTAAATCACTGTGAGGAATGAAGATAGTATGAGTTACCCAGTCGATCTCTAGCATCTGTGAACCTATGTAATCCGGCTGTCCATTCATTTCACCATATCCTGCCGACGAGCTCCCTGTTGTGTTCGTTGAGGAGTTGTTGTAGCCTGAGTGAAGCATCGGATTGCCAAGTAATGGATCTCCAAAAGGGGGGAACCCTCCAATAGTAGTCCCCCAAGTATTATTTGTGTTGCTGGGAGTATTCAAGTACTCATTGACAGGTCCAGTTCCACTTTCTAGTGACATTCCTGTGGGTGGGTGGGATATTTGAGACTGTACTTCGGCATATCCAGGCATGACACCACTTGGAGGCATTGAAGCATATCGAGCATTGTATTCAGCCTTCGGTTTCCCGTGTGCATAGTTGAGTGGCATCCTGGGATCGGAATCATCACCAGCCTTTTGGGGTGGAAGGATAATCATGGAGTCTTTGAACCGGACGGGTGTCTTGATTCCTTTCGCTTTTTGGTAAGCACGCGTGTGCTCAGCAATCAACATCAGCAAATATCTCGCTTTCATGTCTCGGTGTGCAACGATTTCTTGAACGCTCTGCGTCGTTCCTATTTGTTCCAGTGGAGGAGGGAGAGTCGAGATAACATCCGCAAAAATAAAATCCAGACAACTCCATATGCGGCTTGACTCTCTGCGCATTGGAAAGAAGAAAACCTCGAGAAGCAAGAGAAATGCAGTATGATATTCCTGCCAAGAAGAGCTATACCACGCCCATTTCTGAAGGTCCTTTGCTGATTCTAACTCCACTGCGGCTTCCAAAGCGTCGGTGCCTTTGGTCAGCACTATTTGGCGCAACCTGTCGGGAATCCGATATGCGACACTGGTCATGTATCGATTTAAGATATTGATGTATAAGAGGCTTGTAAAAAGCTTAAGCACTAGACTGGTCATTTTCTGCATCGGACTTGGAGACGACACGTTGAAATAAGGGCCATATTTAGCATCCATATCAATGCGGAAAGCCTCTATCTTTGATAAGACTTTTGTTAGGCCGAGCTTCTTTTGGTCAAGTCTATTGCGTAATGCTATGTTTCGGCGAGTCATTTCCTGGCACTCAAATCGAACCAAAAAATATATCATGTCGTTCCAAGCTTGTGGCTTATCCGTGGATGCTTGCAACGAAGTCACATCCAGAGGAAGCTGAGTTGTATACCCGTCCTCGTGGATGAACGGGCGGGGGCCTTGGATCGAACTTGTCTTGAGATCAAGATAGCAGATTTGATACCATACTAAGCGTCGAGTATGGCATTCAGTAGGGGAAAATCCAAACTCAGTAGGATCACGATGCAGCCCCATGCACTCGGCCAGTCGAATCAACATACCGGTCAAAACAGAGTGAGCACGAGATATCCCGCTGACGCACATTGAAAGCTAAACTATACATGAGAAATCAGTCATCCCATTAGGAATATTAGAATCCTACCAAGTATGCAACGAGTGCCTGTAAAGTCTCAGTCTTGCTCGCTCTAAGCAAGTTAGCTCTACCGAGAGCTAGCTCAGCACCCAGTTGTAAACTATCCTTCAAATATTGCTTGGAGGTTTGGAAAAGTTCTGAAACCTGTTCTTCAGACATCGCAACTGAAGCAGAGAATAGCATGGAGTAAACAATTGCTGCAAGCGATGGGGGTATAGGATACCCATTCTCTATTGTCTCCCACAAGGTTTCGTATCGTTGAACGAATGAAGGTCGGTGGACAACCCGGGATACTGGATGGACCGCATCCCAATAGTATTCCATTAATTTATCTGCAGCACCGCGAGGGGGAGATACCGAGTCAAAGAATCCCCCGAAGAAGCCTGAGTAAATAACAAATTGATAGAAGGCACCATGAAATACGGCCCTGGTCGCAAAAATCCCTCTGTTATACCGGGGGACTCGGTGACGGTGTTGAGGGAGAAGACCTTCTGGGATTCTGTTGAAGGTAAAGTAAGATCTGTGGTACAAATCAGTCATGAAGAATAATAATCTATGAAAACGAGTACTGCAGCACACCTCATCTGCAATCATTGGACGGTAGTGGCCTCCGATCCTCTCTCCGAGCCTCATTCTGCCAATCCTAAAACCAAGATCTTCAACATCATCCGCTTCGTCCGCGTAGGCTGCATCTTGAACTGCTAGCGGTGTCGGCTCCAAATGTCCATTATTGACAGAAGTTTCCGAATCATCGCTTATGGGCTCCTCCGGCTCTTCAGAATTTCTTGTTCGTTTTCGCCGGGAGCCACCTTTTGGGGATCCTGGATGATCTCTAAGAGTGTTATCGATTGCATCTTTAGCCTCCTTCATCTCAGTCAACTTTTGACGAAGCTGGGTATCTGGGTTCATAGAAGTGACATAGATGCATTGCTGTTGCAATGCACGACAATTTTCACATGGATTCTATCTGGCTTGTTAGGCAATTTCGATATGGAGGTCCGGGTATACATACTTCCCTGTCACATTTTACCTTCCTCCGACGGCACTCAAGACATGATTGGATCACCCGGTTTCGGCGCCGGGCCTTTTGTTGAGGCTTGGGTGCGCTGCAAGTGGCGGCTGCATCGGTGCCTGAGAGATTCCCACTATTGGGAGACTCGCGCTGCCGATGAACTTCGTCGGCAAAAGACGCGAGAGTCGACATTTTGGGGGACACTCAATGGTATTGCTAGATATCACGCAAAGGTTCCATGGAGTAGGATTACTGAGAAGCTAATAACACAGGCTGAATTAACGACATCCCACCGTGGGATGTCAGACGAGACTAAATGGTTAGCCCCCATAAATCGGCCAATGAGACACCACTATCGCGCGAATTGAGGCTGTAACTAGTAAATGATCTCACTTCACCATGGTGGCTTCAGATTGACTTCCTCTTGATATTGGGATATTAATCCCAATACGCTAAAACTAGAAATCGCCGAACGCGGGTTTGGGTTGGGTTTTCATTTTCCCTTAACCCCCCTCTCCCCCCCTTCCACCCTCCCCACCACCCTCCTTCCCCCCGGCCCCACGCCCTACGGGTAACCCGCGCGGGAAGCTAAATTACTGGACATGAAAATCAAATAAGTCGGCTTTTCTGATATTCTAAGGTTGGTACATAGTCTATTTCTGTATCAATTATCAATTTAATATGCGCAATACCGTCCCATGGAATCAGACTTCCTCGCCGATATATATATCTCTCTCTGGTCTCTAGAAGGCTGAATGTATAGGCCAGATTTTATTACTCCTGGCGTTGCGACGATGATGGCACATAGATCTGCCAACCATTTACGACCACCAAGTCTTAGTGTCCCTCGTATGGATCGATATCAGACCCGTTTATAAAGATTGGAAGATGGAGCACAGTATCTCGGCCAGCAGCTTGGTCAGTGGCGGTCTGGCAGAGAGAACCTCGGGAAACTTGGCGGTCTCACATCAGGCCCATGGCCTCCAACTTCCTAGCCTCCTGTGAGAGTCATTTTTCCGCTATGCAAAACAGCATACAGACCCCGTTGCATTACTAAAAAAGATACTTGTACGTCTCTAACTACAAAGTGTCACAAGGCCGGCTCTCTAAATAAGGACCTATTGGGGTGTGAGACCACGAGCTAGGCTATAGCCATAACTTCCCGGAGGTTAAGCAGGATACTTCTAAGGATATTTACCTCCAAGTGACTAGGCTGACAGCAAAGGCTACTGCGAAGAGGTGGGTTGTAACTAATGATAGTGGGTTGAAATACTGATTACAATGATTTTCTACAATCTTACGGCCGTAAGATGAACATCTAAAATCTCCGTAGTAAGCATACAGCCGGACTTAACAAAAATAAACTAAAGTCTAATTTAGCGACCCTCGAGCCACTATTTTAAAAGATTTCCCCATACGGTTAGAATTATAAATTCATACGGCCGTAAAGACTCGCTCTTGGCAAATGGCGCTGCTAATAGCTCCCCACTTTCAACTTTGCATTGCCCTGAGGCTCCCATATTCATGATTTATGTCCGTTGGACTCTGTTGAGTTGTTGTACGTAGAATCCCACTCTCCATATGCCCCTCTCACGTTATAGGTCAAAGCAGTTCTTTGCAGCCTAGACCGGCAATAATCCCTGGCTTAGTGTGTAGTTTCAGCCCATTGCCAAGATCAGTGGTTTTCAGCACCATGGCAAAGTCAAGACATATTGTGAAGGGCGTGGTAGTGGAATTTATAAAGATGAGGGCAATCCCTTCAAGAAAAAGTAAATTCCAACCAGGCTCTTATCAATATAAACTTTGCATCTCGACATTAATTCGCTATAAAGCCTTCTCATCACAATGCTTATCACTCGGGATGGAGCGCCGATTGAGTGTACGAAAGTAACTCCTGAATGTCCTGTCGAAGGCACTATCTATGGATATGCCCCCAACTTTGCTGCAAGCATCGTCTTTTGTGCCATCTTTGGGATTCTGGGTTTGGTCCAGCTTGTCCAGGTTCTCAAATGGCGCATGTGGTCTTTTGGTATTCCTGTGGTTCTAGGAGCGGTCTCAGAGGTTATTGGTAAGTAAATCCGCTGGTTTTGACCGCAATAATGCCTTAAATTATTTGTAGCATAAAGATCAAGTTTAACAAATTTGAATAGGGTACGTTGGCCGACTTATGCTACACAGTAACGCATACTCCGACGTCGGATTTCAAACACAGATTTGCACCTTAATCATTGCGCCTGCCTTTTGGTCGGCCGCTATCTACTTGACGCTGAAGCATGTTTTCAATCTTTTTGGACGCAAGTACTCGATGCTCAGAGCGGCATGGTATCCTTACATATTCGTCCCTTGTGATATCCTATCGCTCGTTCTTCAAGGAGCTGGTGGTGCTCTTGCAGCCACAGCAACCACTCCCGATGACTCTTCCCTTGGAAGTGATATCATGTTGGCTGGAATTATCTGGCAGGTGGTTACTCTGACGGTGTTTGGACTACTGTGGGCGCAATACTTTCGGCACGTCAAGAAGGCACAAGGGCATCATTTGTCGGTGGAGGCTGAGAATGTTTGGGTGAGCAAGAATTTCTGGGTGTTTTGTGGTGGCATTGTGGTAGCATTTCTGACAACCTATGCACGATGTGTCTACCGGTAAGTGCATTCTCATATGCTAAGTTTTCTTAATGCTGATTCATGATTTAGTATCGCGGAAATGGCCGGTGGATGGCAAAATTCTATTATGCAAGACGAACTCACCTTCATCATCTTTGAATCTGCGTATGCTTCAACACACTCCGGTCTCGATTTGAAACGAAAAAAAAGCTAATGATAATGGTACAGGATGTGCGCTGTGGCCGTTTTAGCCCTCAGCATCACACACCCCGGGCACTTTTTCAAACACATAAATGGAAAGTATGAGTCGGTGAATACAGAGGATTCTATTTCTCTACAAGCAAAGTTAGATCGGGAGAGTGTGGTCTAGTAGTTGGAAACTCTATAATCCAAAAAGCTATTACCAATCAATTAGCGTGGCTTGAGAATTAGATATGAACTGTGACTATGTGAAGTGGTTATTTCGAAGGCTATAGAGAATATGGTCAAGTAACTTTCTATAGAATATATTACAGACTTCCTTTTACTTCGGCTTTGATGTCAAACCATAATCTAGGCGTGAGATTTCTTAGTATCGTAACTTAGCCTCTTCAACTACTCAATCAATAATTCACATTACACCATGGGCTTCGACGTAGTCCTCTACTGACACTAGGTTTAAATTATACAAGAACCCGAACAAACTTTGACTTGATACTTCTTTGTAGCAGAGTATTTCGATACGCCTAGGAATATGACTACGAAGCTACTATTGCTGGCACGAGTCACGACAAAAACTACATTCCGAACATTGTGGACGAGAGGATTCAATACATGGAGCTTCTCGTCTTAACTTCAGTTGCTAAGCCACCTTTCATCCCGTTCGCGACCAGATCGGCAAGGATCAGATTTGCGCCAGGTGTTCCTATCACTGACACCGCAACTGGAAGACGCTCCTCTCTCTCTATCACAATGGAATCGTACGAGATATCGCCAACTATGATACTGTTAAGAAATTTGTCGAGGCTTGGATACTGATTCTCACTTACTTGGTACCGTTACTTCCGGTGCTCGCGTCATCGGAGACATGTTAAGTGCAGCATATCCGCTCAACAGACCGTTTGGCCTTGAACTTTTCGTCAGTATTCCAGATGTTTCGAAGAACGTAACCACTTACAGCAGCTCAGTATGGAGTATGGCGGAGCCTAAACCACCATAAAGCTATAACAACCCGGTCAATGTCAGTACTATCTGACTTGCGCGTAACCGGGGAATGAAACAAGCTCTTTGAGATGCATAATAGAATGATAATAATTAGTTCTAAAGTCTTTGGGCGAGAATCTTCATTCTAACTCCAGCAAGCACATTCCAAGCGACGAGATTAGTGCCTGTAACGGGTCATAGACCGAAACATGGACCTAAACACCACCCACCCTGACGGACAGGAGAACGGGCAGGACAATGCTAGTGGAGAGACCTCCAACCGGAGCCAGTAATAGTAAGTTAAAGAGGACTCCAGAATAAATGGTAATTTTACCACTTACTATTAGGTTTCCCAAAGGGAATATAAAGGTAAAGTAGTTTATACTAATACATAACAGGTAATATTAGCAAGGGCTTATAAATACGCCCTTATTATATACTTAGGTAGGAGAACCTCGAAATTGAACTTTGAGAGTATATTAGCTAAATATTTATACTATAGCCTAGGGCTTTCTTTTAGGCCGTAGAGTGCATTCTATAGGTAGTCACACATTGTCAAATTTTCCCAGGTGGCCCAAATCCGCTGTACTCGGCACAATCTAAACGGGCAAGCCGACTGCGGGGGCTAATGAGGATTTGATGATCTGCACGCCAAGGCCACTTTAAATCGAGCATTCTGCTTTTAATACAAGTTAGGAGACGGATATCTTGATTTATCGGGATAATCCCGACTTAGTATTCATTATTAGAAACCGAAGCCAATTCTCGGTGTAGACCAATTAAAGCTAATATTCGATGGAGCATGTAGTCAATACCCTCGGATATGTATAGACCGAGGTAAAACTGGGTTTGGCGGTATCAACTCCAACTATTAAGCTAAAGCACGCAAAATACCCACCGAGTCGAACGGCACAAATTTAGGCCGGTTACCCAATTTCGGTTAAAAGCCAGCTACTCCATACCTACCTAGGCACTAGCGGTATAACCATTTGGGGATCCTCGCCATGTTTGCCGAACTTCCCCGCACTCGTCACTTTTCATAAATCTCCCCTCAGCTGGTTATTAGTTGTTCTCTAAACTCTTGCTTATTCCCATTATTGCCTTAAATCGTGAGTCAGACTTCATTGTGCTCACCTGGCTGCAGCTAACCGCATTTTAAAAATAGCCGAAACCCGCTTACTATTCCTACTTTTTGGAGATTTACTCCTAGATTATACCGACCGCTGCAACTCCGAGAATTTGGAGGGGACAAAAAAAAAATGGTGTTTTTGCCTGCAAAGGAGTCGGGCCAATTGGGCTCAATTCCCGACAGTATCCCCATCAGCGAGTTTATGCTCAATGAGAAATATGGACGAGTGCCACACGCCAGCTCCCGGGACCCATACACATGCGGCATCAGCGGGAAATCATACTCATCGCAGGAGGTAGCCAATCATGTTGACTTACTGGCTCGTAGTCTTTCAAAAGAATTTGGTTGGGCGCCAAATGAAGGTTCGGAATGGGATAAGACACTGGCTGTGTTTGCCCTCAACACCGTAGGTGGAGATTCTGTATCAAAAACAAGAAGAATAGAAAGGAGCTTATTCTTTCATTTTGCCATTAGATCGATTCCTTGCCCCTATTCTGGGCCGTTCACAGATTGGGTGGTGTTCTCACTCCCGCCAATGCATCATACTCCGCCGCCGAGCTGACACATCAATTGCTTGATTCCAAGGCCAAGGCCCTGGTTACTTGTCTTCCTCTCCTTTCCATCTCACTTGAAGCTGCAGCCAAGGCTGGTCTCCCGAGGAGCCGAATCTACTTACTCGATGTACCCGAGCAGCTTCTTGGTGGCGCGAAGCCTCCAACAGAATACATTTCTGTTTCTCAGCTCATCGAGGCTGGAAAGTCTCTGCCTCCAGTGGATGAATTACGATGGAGTGCGGGTGAGGGTGCCCGACGAACAGCATTTTTGTGCTATTCGAGTGGAACATCTGGATTGCCGGTAAGCAGTGTCCTAATCACTCCGAAGGTTGAATAACACTTTGGCTAATAATGCGCTGCAAACCAGAAAGGAGTGAAGATCTCGCACCGCAATGTGATTGCCAATACCCTTCAGATCAAGGCATTTGAGCAGAACTATCGGAATAGCGGTGGTACAAAGTCCCCCAATACTGAGGTTGCTCTTGGTCTCCTTCCGCAGAGCCATATCTATGCTCTTGTGGTCATTGGTCACGCTGGTGCATACCGAGGCGACCAAACAATCGTTCTCCCCAAGTTCGAATTGAAATCCTACCTGAACGCCATTCAACACTATAAGATCACCACTCTCTTCCTGGTAAGCATATATTTGCTGATGAGAAGATCCTGTCAAATGCTGACCGCAACCACTTAGGTGCCTCCAATCATTATTCACATGCTGGGCACTCAAGACGTATGCTCCAAGTACGACCTGAGCTCCGTGCGACTTTTGTTCACCGGAGCGGCACCCCTGGGCATGGAAACAGCAGCCGATTTCCTCAAATTCTACCCGAACGTTTTGATCCGCCAAGGATATGGTATGTGATCATTGGCGCTTTCCATAGACACGCAGCTGACATTTTCACGCATAGGTCTGACTGAAACATCCACGGTCATAAGCTCGACCCACCCCCACGATATCTGGCTAGGCTCATCCGGTGCCTTGCTCCCTGGAGTCGAGGCACGCATCGTGACGCCTGAAAACGAGGAAATCACAGCGTATGACACGCCAGGCGAGTTGGTGGTCCGAAGCCCGAGTGTCGTGCTGGGCTATTTGAACAACGAAAAAGCCACCAAAGAGACATTCGTGGACGGATGGATGCGTACCGGAGATGAGGCTGTCATTCGTGTAAGCCCGAAGGGCTTCGAGCACGTCTTTATTGTCGACCGAATTAAGGAGTTGATCAAGGTCAAGGTTCGTGGTGCCATCGGTTGATGGAAAGAGTACCTGTCTAACACATCATTCCTAGGGTTTGCAAGTCGCACCTGCCGAACTCGAAGCTCATATCCTCGCCCACCCCGATGTCTCCGACTGCGCTGTTATCGCTATCCCAGATGATCGCGCCGGAGAGGTTCCCAAGGCCATCGTTGTCAAGTCTCCCACGGCAGGATCGGATGAATCAGTCTCCCAAGCTCTCATTAAGTTTGTTGAAGACCACAAGGCTCGTCATAAGTGGTTGAAGGGAGGTATCAGATTTGTGGATGCTGTTCCTAAGAGCCCCAGTGGTAAGATTCTTCGCCGATTGCTTCGTGATCAAGAGAAGGAAGCACGGAGAAAGGCAGGCAGCAAGATTTAAAAATGGTTGATTAGAGCTTGGTCTTGGGAAACCTTGGAAGAAGCGCTAATAATTGTTTTGTTATAAGAGTACATATGTAGGTCCACTGGTAGATAGTCAATGTTATATAGTCTGATTGATATTAAAATGAAGACGGATTGACATGTCGAAATCACAGGTTCAGAAACCTTCGAAATTCGACTGCCACAAAGCTTCGGGTATCATTAGAATAGCCCTGAATGAATAATATGTTATTTCAGAGAGTAAATAACAAAGCTTTCATACCACTTGGGTATTGCTGTCTCCCGAGGGGGCCACTTGAGGGACTTCCTGAGGAGCTGTCTCTTTGCTCAAAATTTGATCAACTGCAGACGCAATGCCACGGCAAAGCCCAGACCAGGACTTGCGTTTTTGAAAAGATCTGGTGCACCTCGGTGAGTAGACGCAAGGAGCTTGCTTTGCCCGTCAGATTGCCGACCCCAATCAGATTGAGTGGAGTATTTGGCCCTTCAGCAATCCAAATTTGAATTTCCCTGGTGTCTAAAAAGCGGACCTCTTTGTTTGAAGCTTGCGGCTTTTCGAGTTCAGGAGCGACCATGAGCGTGTCGAATGCCCATATATAGAAGAAAGCAATCAGGAAACAGAGAGGATCATGGCAGGCGAATTTCTGCTTTATTTTCAATGCGCTGAAAACACATGCAGCATGCCACAGACATTTCCTGGCAATAGATTGATTGTTTTCCATCCAATGTTTTAGGCTACTTCTCGACGCGTCGACGTCGGCTTCCTCGTCTTGCCAATCTGAAAATGACTCGAGCATGTGAAGCGATACTACCCGGAGAAGGGATAGTACATGATGAATGACATCCCGAGCGGCAATATAGTCGGGTTTGGCCGAGGTGGGGATGGCTGCAAATACTTCATCCATCGATCGAAACATCATTGCGCGCAAGGCCGAAGGGGTTGGTGTAATGTGGGCCCACTGGTGCGGAACTGGCACGCCGGTGACTTGAGAACTTAGACTCGATTTCCAGACGGAATAATATGCCATTTTGTCAAGGAACAATCTCTCCTCGCTGTAAGGAGACAAAATGTAGAGATTTCGGCGATAAGCATCCATTCCTGCCATGGTTTCACTGGCTTTTCTGACATCAAGTTGCGTGGATACAGATTGTGATAGATCTAAAGGCCATGGTTAATCCTGAGATATCTGGTCGACAACAAATAACATTGGCTCGCTTTGGTCAGACCGGTATACATGGACGAAATTGTCTGCATTCCTGCGACACCACAGTGATTGGCGACAGGGGAACTCCTCGGGGAGTTCATGCTGTCCAAATATCGGCTGACGATCGAATAAGACGAGCTGAAGACATTCAAGTTCTGGTGAATGATTAGCCAAGGCGTTCGTAGCTTCCAAGGTTGTCACAGGTGGAACATACGAAAGATATAATGAAGTAGACGTGTACGAGATTCTATTGCCAGCCAGGCTCTCCATTGTCTTGGGCCTTGTGACGCTTTTGTTTTCATACATGGATCAACCTTCAAGACACGAGCCAAGGTGACAAGTACATTTCGCTCATACTGCAGCTTCAACTGGGCTTTGGGTGATCCGCCAAACATCAGGGAGACGTCACTAAGGAATACGCTTTGTGCATAGGATAAAGTTGTTGACTCGGGTGATTGAGGCCGCTGATTTGATTAATATGGGGTACGGGTCTTCGCTAGGAAATAAACTTACGTTTTGTTCTATTGCCTGAGACAGGATCTCCCCGAAGGATGCTGAAAATTGACTGGCATTGCCCAAAACGCTATATTGACTCCCAACAGTGACCACTGCTAAAAGTACCATCCATGAGGTTTTGTCATGTCCGAATTCTAGAGCATATGGGTGAATCACGGGGTATTCATGGTCAAAGTGTTCAAGATACAAGTGCACAAAGTCTTGGATGACCCTCCACCATGGAAATGTCCCATCTTCTGTTTCCCCCAGGCTCACAAGATATGACTTAAGTGACTAATATATTGAAGTATTGGTCATCACATTGTAACGGGATTCAGGCAACAAGAAGCGCTCATCTGAAGGCCGCATTTTTGGAAGTGATGATTTCAACTGGCGGGCTGGCTTGGAAGAGCTTGCTGAAGCATGAGCAAGAGGGGCAGAAGGGGTACGAGTACGGGCACCCGATGCTGGGACGCGCGGACGAGGAGCCCAGGCATGCGTAGGATTAACAGGGGGTGTTGCTTGCGATGCTGGGCCGTTCTCATCATTTTCTGATTCGTCTGATATTTCCATAAGATCATGCGAGACATCAACCTGATCCTGTGTAGTGGGGTCTGTAGCAGGTAAGGCCAGACTTGGAGTAGTTTGGTTTGTTGTATCTTCATTCAATGGGAAAGGTGATGTACGTATGTTTGAAGAGACAGAGCTCGGATCTTGAATATTGTGTGGAGATAAAGGACTCGTCTGATCCGACGGCTCTGTTTTTATATTTTTTTCCCTCGTGGTGTTTCCTCAAATGAGCCGCGAGCCTATGCCTAATGTTTGCGGGGGATCAGAATTGAAACGATGTATGCAGCGCAGACACTATGCGATACCTTCGAGTATAGGACTTCGGACAAAAGCGACATTTAAACTCTTTCGACCCAACATGTCCCCGGTCATAGCATTTTTGTGTCAGTGCTGTACCGCATTGCTCACAAGTAAGATGGAGTTGCGGGCGAGTATGAGTTAGGATATGGCGCTTCAGATGGTGTTTACGCCCGAAGATCTTGCCGCATTGCTCACAGGGTAAGACTCCTGCAAAGGGGTCATGGTTTCTTCCCGCTTTGAAACACCCAGGCAAATGCAAATAACCAATGCAACCTGTAACTAAACAGTCTACAATCAGGACTGTGGCCATATATTCACAAAAAAATTCAATAAATCTAGCCAAACCCTCCAATGAGGCTATTTCGCGTTTCGTGGTGGCACAAAAGCGGTCACTAAAGCGGTAAGACGCAGAGCATGATCTGCCGCGGGGTGGTGGATTTCTAAGCGGGGAGGTAAGAAAAAAGATCGAGGACATTTCGAGTTGCCTTAACAACCTGCTTCTTGCTTCAATATTGTTTGGGACCAGGTCTTATAACGAGTGACTGGTCATCAATCACTCCTTTCAACTTCATATTATTCGTCTCCCACCAACGCACGAATTGAGAAAAATAAAATAAAATAAAAATGTCTTCAAACGACCTGCATCACGAGAATGTAGAGGAGGACTATCTGCAGGCCGACGATGCTGAAGAGATCTTCGAACGTGATGAGGATCACCCCATGTCGGAAGGGGAAGACGAAGAATACGCCGACGAGAATATGACCATCGAAGATGAGATCACCTTCCAGAACGATTCCGCAGCACACTTCGACTCGCACTCAGACTCTGTATTCTGCGTTGCGCAGCACCCGGTTCACAACAACATTGTTGTGACCGGTTCTGGAGATGACACAGCATACATCTTTGACTCGACACCCGCACCACGTCCTGTGTTCCCATCGAGCTATGAATCAAACCCTCAGCCCAAGGAGCGCGAGTCTCTCTTGCCCCTGGCCAAGCTCGACGGACACACTGACACCGTGAATGCCGTGGTTTTCACCGAGCCTGCAGGAGAGTATGCCATTACTGCGGGCCTGGATGGCAAGCTGCGAGCTTATCGGGATACCACACCTCAGAAGACCGGACTCGCATGGGAGTTCTTTGGTGAGGTCCAGGAAGTGGAAGAGATCAATTGGATGGCCGTGTGCCCCTACCAACAGGGCAATGAAAGCACGCAAAATGTCATTGCCATTGGTTCCAATGATGGCAGCGCCTGGGTCTTCCGTATCGATCATACCGACCCCAGCCAGCCTATCTCCATCATTCAGACTTTCTTCTCTCACACCGAATCATGCACTGCAGGCGCATGGACGCCTGATGGAAATCTACTAGCCACTGTTTCTGAGGACGCCAGCTTCTTTGTTTACGACGTCTTCGGAGCTGCCGCCGCCGCTGGCATCGAGTACTCCCCAGGTACCAATGCCATCCTTGGATTGAATGCGGAGGATCAGCGCTTCGCCGTGGAGGGTGGTCTTTACACCATTGCCATTTCCCCCAGTGGTGGTATTGCTGCAGTGGGCGGTGCTGAGGGCCACATCAGAGTCGTTGGCCTTCCTCGAGTCGCAGCAAGTGCCCCTGCAGCTAAGGGTAAGGGCAAGACCTCGCAGGCAGCCAGTTCGACCGCTGCAGGCACTATCATGGCTGCATTGCAGACTCAAACCGACAACATTGAGTCACTCTCATTCTCCCAGGCCCCATTCACCCTCCTTGCTGCCGGATCTGTGGATGGTTCGATTGTGATGTATGATGCGGCCCATCGATTTGCGGTCCGTCGGCACATTCGGGATGCCCACGAGGGAAGCGCCGTTGTCAAGGTTGAGTTCCTGCCTAACAACAAAGGACCCCTTGCCAATGCTTCCGCAGCCCAGCAGAACCGCTCTTGGATGCTCACATCTGTCGGCCTGGATGGTGTGGTCCGACGCTGGGATGCACGCGGTGGTACCGCCGCAGCTTCTCAGGGATTGATGCGGGAGTGGAAGGGACACATGGGTGCCACGGAAAATGACGAGGGCGAGCAAGCCGGTGGCATCATGGGCTTCGTACAGAGTCTGGATGGAAAGCGTATTGTCACTGCCGGTGATGATGGTATCTCGCTCGTGTTCGAGGAGTAACCTAGAAAAGCAAAAGTTGGAGGTCCCAAACATGCATAGTGGGGGTTCATGTCGATAATGATATTACGTGTTTATAGAAGCTCAAAGCCAAACCAACCTTGATAACCAGCTCACGATATATAATGGCAAAACTCCTGTAGAAGTCGATGATCGAAGAATAAAGAAACATCTGGTTGTAGTAGTGGAACAAAAGCTATGTACATTCGACAAATCAAACCCAAAGCGCCATCTGGAAGCTACGCTCCTTATGAGCCACGAGAAGCTGCATCTCCGCCCTAACACGACAAAAGCTCCCGGGCTTGGCAAAGCTGTAGGCGTTGTAATCCAAAACCCGGTTGTGGTTCTCGCGGGGGCGAGACGACTCTTTCTTGTCGCCTGGGGTATACGTCCTCCGCTCGATGATCCGTCGGTCGGCGGCATTCTCAATTGGTCTCCAGAGACAACCTTTTAGTGGTGACCGTCACCGTGGTGAGCATCGCCGTGGTGGTGATCATCCTTCAAGAAGAAGTGCTCGTATGTGCAGTAGGCAGCGAAAGCGACAGAGGCGATACCGAAGCCGGGGAAGAGACCTCTGAAGCGCTTGGCTCTGCTGAAGGGGCCGCTGTAGCGCCAGGCCTCACTATAATACATTAGTGCCTACCACAATTGGCATCACATCGGCATCACTTGACGTACTTGCGAGCCCATGGATCCCGCTTGGCCCAAACGGAAGATGGGGAGGCCGCGGCCTTGTACTGGGCGAGGTCGAAACCGGTGGGGTTACGGGCGGGCATTGTGAGAGTTGTCCGGTAGTAAATATTACTGAAAGACGGAAATAAAGAGAAACAAGATGTAAAGGGCTGTAACTTGGTCCCTTAGTCCGCAATCAACCGCAAAGTGACACAGTGAGGAGCCGAAGATGAGGAAAAGAGGTGTGCTTGGCAATTACGCGCGCTAACCGAATACGGTAGACCAAGTAGCTCTCCCGCCTTCGAGGCACGAAACTCTCACTTCATCCATGCGCATCCTCGAGACAACAAAATGCCACCTCCCGTTGGCAGATATGGGCCTTCTGGCTTGAACGCTCCATACAACATACAACAAGCTCACCTTCAATCTCAACACCCCGCACACGCACAATCTGGAAATACGCTACCTCCCCCTTCGCTTGGTCATCCTGGCTTCGCAGGCAATCCGAATACCAACATCAACCCTTTTACATTATCCGGCGGAATTGCAAATGGCATGGCGGTAGGCGGTTTTCCGGGATCTGGCGCAGGTGATGGCGGCGGCACCGGTCTGGCTAGTCATGCGGCACAGATGGGATTCGCGCGCGGTGCGCAAATGCAACAACAGCAACTACACCAGGGTCACGACGGTCGGTTAACGCTCGAAGCAAAGGGTGG